AGTCAAATGAGGGGCGCCTGGGTGGCTCAGTTGTTAAGCGTCTGCCTTCGGCTCAGGTCATGGTCCCAGGGTCCTGGGATCGAGTCCTGCGTCGGGCCCCCTGCTCGGCGGGGAGTGGGCCTCTCTGACTCCCTCTGCCTGCCGCTTTCCCCTGCTTATGCTCTCTCTCGCTGTCAGATAAATAAATAAAATCTTAAAAAAAAAAAAGTCAAATCAGAACCTGGGGGGTGGGTGGGGGGATGCGCTGAGATCTGTAATTCATGTCTCAGAAAAGGCCTAATTTCCGTCATAAATGATGAGCTAATACAAATCAGTAAGACAAAGATAGCAAACTCCATGTACAAAGGGGCAGAGAACTGAAGGTGACAAAGAGGAAGTGAAGTGGGGAAGGCCCACCTCCCAGTGGGGTGGCTGCGGACCTGCCGGAGCCCAGCTGGACAACGGTCTTCCCGAACCAGAAATGCTTCTGCTTTCCGATAAAGCGACGCCCTGCCCTGCGGGCTGAAAGCTTGTGTACAAGGCCATTCACTTTAACATGACGTGTACGACAAAAGATTGGAAATAACCTAAAATGTCCACAGCAGGGACAAGGGACACATCACATCGTTGGCACATCTACATAACAGAGCGCGACCTGCATGGGCTCCGCGCGGGCTGCCCTCCCTTGGCCTTCTTGCCGCATCGGGGGGTCACGCAGCTCCCCCAGAGGTGGGCCCTCCAGATGGATTCTCCCGGACACCCGTGACGACCAGGCGGACAAGGGCAAGGGCAGGGTCGTGCTCGTGAGGCTGGGCAGCACAGAGAATGCCTGTGTCTCCCAGATTGGCGCACCAGCTCCCTGGGAAGGGACCCCTGTGGGTGGCTCGTGCTGCACCCGGGCCCACGGAGATACAACCCCGAGCCTCTGCGCGGAAGCCTGCACAGGCGGAAAGACTGCAGTGTGTCTGTCTGCACGTCAGCCTGACGGGGTCACCCAGCCCCGCCAGGCAGCGGCCGGGGACAGCACGTCTCACCTCTGTTCTGACCTCTGGCTGGACTTCCTCACAGATCAAGTTCTTCCTTCCTGCTTCTCTCTGAACTCCAGCAAAAGACCCTGAAAGCAGGGTCCCCAATGGGAACCAAAATTCCCCTCAAGCTATAAGGACAGCTCCGAGCCAGTAGGAGTCCCGTGACGGACCCCACGACAGTGACTGACCTGACCTTTGCTGCCCACCTGCATGCACCCACTGACCTCTGTCCCACATGGTCCTTATATAAACCTGGAAGTGTTTTCTGCACTTGGGAGGGTCTTCTGGACACCAGTCCACTGGCTTCCCGGGAACAGCCTCCCTGAAATAATCTCCTTTCTTGTGTCACCGTCTCTCTGCCCGTGGATTCTGTCGGCGGCCACTGACCAAGCCTGGCCTGTTTGGGACCCCAGAGCCCTGGCCCCAGCCTACCTGGCGCAGAGTCATCCTGGGAGGTGAGGCCAGAGGGGCTGGATCCCAGGTCTAGTAACTTCCACGTGTCCTGGAGGGGACCGCTGGCTGCTGATGAGGAGCTTCCGGTGTGGTGGCCACTTTCCCTGTGGGATTCTTGAGCTGGGCGTGGCTTTGGGGACCGGTTTTCTTTGTGCCGAGTTGATCTGCAAGTCACTGTAGAGATTTTGTGTTGCCTCTATGAAAGTAAAAAAAGACAGAATTATCCTGAGAGCCCTGCTCTGCTGTCCCTGGAGTAAGTGACAAGGTGGTGGGCATGGCCCAAAGACAGGTCTTGGGGTGAGGCTTCAGGGACTGTCTCACAGAGGCCCTGGGGACAGGCCCATGCTCCCAGGCACACTGGCTGGCCAGTGCCTGACCAGCTGGGGTTCCTATGGACACTAGAAGGACAAAGCAATGTGTAGGGCAAAGGCAGTCTGGTCTCCTTGGAAAGAAGGGTAAATGCCCCAAAACACTCCTCTCCAGCTGTGCCAAGGCCCACGCTGGAGCCCGTGTCTGCCCATGCCCCCAGTGCCCCGGGTGGACCCACTCTGTGAAGGCACAAGAGCAGACTCTGCCATCCCAAGAGAAGCGTCTGGTGCTGCCACGGCAACAGCCATCTGCTAGGACACCCGGCGCTCAGCTTCCCACAGTGGCGCGGTGTCCCCAGCAAAGGTGGCCCTGCCCTACCTGCCCCGCCCCGGCCACTGCTCCTGCTGCCCAGCCCTGAGGAGGATCGTTTCTCCCCACCGTCTGGGCCGAGCGGGGTTGGACCTTCCCCAAGCATTCAGAGACACAATTTTTCTTGGTGTTCTTAGAGTCCTGCTGTAAAAACGCGAACAGAAGGAATTCAGTGTCGGCAGGTCACTGATGGGGTGTGTTACCCAGGTCTCCCTCCAGATGAGGAAGAAACGCTCTCCCCAAATTTCCAGTAGCAGGGACTCGCTCAAGTTGGTGGCAGGCCAGAAGGGAGGGGCATGGTTGTGTCCACCAGCCAGGATGAACAGTGTCCACCTGAGTGCACCTCCCGGCCTTCAGGAGACCAAGCACCCCACCATCAGAGACCCCTTCTCAGCCTCAGGGGAGGGAGCCCTGGGCCTGACCCCCTGTGCCTCTCAGTTTGCTGGCAGGGCCCCCGCAGCCTGGACGGCCTTCCACCCTCCCTCTGTGGGGACAGCTGCCTGAGAGCAGTCACAGGGGAACAGTAAGGAGTCTTAAGAGGCACTGAACGGGAACATGGAAGAAAATGTAAGCATTACAAGCAGCTGGACTAGGGCAGAGCCTGAGCGGTGGGCCACTCGCAGGGAGGAACCGGCCACACCCACCAGCCTCTAGGAGAAGGGGTCCTCCAGCGGAGGGGGTTGTGCAGGAGAGGGGGTCGTGCAGGGGAGGGGGTCCTCTGGTGGAAAACGCCATGGTCTTCAGCCCCTTTTCTGTGGCTGGCCCTGCCCCGTTTCTCAGGCCAGCGTCTCCTCGCTGGGCGGACCATTGGCAGGCCTCCCCCACAGACCCATTCCGGATGCCCTGGTGCTCTCCCCACTGTCCCAGCCATTCCTTGATTCAGACCCTGCCATTTGCCAAGGGCTTGTGTTGAGGCTGAGCAGAAGCCCCACCAGCCCCATGAGGTGTGTGCCTGACGGACACGGTAGCAGGGCAGCTCAGGCATCGCCGCTCACCTCCTCCCACCCAGCAGCCAGGCCTCAAACCTGAGCTCCTTCCCTCTCCCACAATCCAGATCCATCCCACAGCGAATCCTGGCTTCAGCTGTCTCCAGATGTGACGCTTCTCCTCGCTGGCCGCCCACCCCTTACCCGGGCCCCCAGGTCAGCGCAGAGCCTGAGCACTGCTACCTCACTGGGGCCACCTTGGGGCTCACGTCACCCCCTGGGGGAACAGGCCATCCATCTCCCAGCTGGTGCTCTCTTACTCTATTTTAAACAAATTGAAAAGGCAAGCCATACCCTGGAGACTAACTTTGCAGAACATGGGCAGATAGGGATTGGTCTCAAGACTTTATAAAACTCCCACATCCTTCAAGGAAACTGAGTGTTAGTAAATGAGACACTACACACAGGTGCAGAGAAACGGCGCCAAGACACGCGCTTGCTACTTTTCATCAGCTAATTACAGGTGGAAGCTTCTAGTCGTGTGGAAAGACTTGTGAAGAACAGAAATCTGAAGGCAGCATAGCGGAGGGCATGGCCGCCATGGAAGGGCAGCGGCATCCTGCCAGCCGGGACCCCGCTTGTGGTCGTCAGGGATAGAGTCAGAAGTGCCAGCAGACAGAATTCAGCACCTGTTCTGGGTAAAAACTCAGTACAGCAGGAGGAGAAAGAACTTTAAACTGATGAAGGGTCTGTATGAGGTCGAACCATATGAAATTGCTGATATTTAACCACTTCTGACTTACAAAAATGGCAATTTTGTAGGATTCAACTCAACACCCAAGCCTACAGCAAACTTTCTACTTGAAGATAAAATGCAAAAAGCATTTGGGGCACCCGACTGGCTCAGTCGGGGGAGTGTGTGACTCTTGATCTTGGGATTGTGAGTTTGAGCCCCACGGTGCATGTAGAGATTGCTTAAAAAAAATAAAACCTTTACCAAAAAAAATGAAAAAAAGCATTTTATAAATCAGGACAAAGGTGTGGATGACCCTGTTCTCTGTGGTGCATGGGAGTCCTGGCCAGGAGGGTAGCACGAGACAGGACCGTGAGGGGAGGAGTCTGACTCTCACCACAGACGCTCGCCATTCGCATAGAGAACCTGGGAAAACAGCTGCCACACGTATTAGCACTAATCAGTTCTGTGGAGTTGCTAGTTATAAAACATTTGATAAAAGCCAACTATGCTCCAATTGCCTGCAATAGCTAGAAAATGTAAGCTTAAAGAGATCCTCAAGATAAACAAACTGGTATAGTCATCAAACAGAATGCTGTCCAGCAATAAGAAGGGAGCTTTCAGACCACGGAAAGACGTGGAGGAAACGTAGATGCGTGTTACTGGGAGCAAGGAGCCAATCTGGAAAAGGCTACATGGCCTATGATTCCAACCCCGTGACATTCGGGGGAAACGGCAGAACGGTGAGGCAGTAAGAAGATCGGTTGGTACCAAGGATAGAACTGGAAACGGGAAAGGATGAACGGAGCACAGAGGAATTTCAGGACAGTGAAACGGCTCTGCATGAGACACGAGGGTGGACAAGTGTCATTATACATTTGTGCAAACCCGTAGAACACACAGCAGTGAGAACGAGCCCTAACGTACGCCCCGGGCTCTGGGTGATGATCCTGGGTCTGTGCAGGCTCCTCCGTGTGACAGACACACCATCTGGTGGGACGCTGATATGTGTGCACGAGAGGACTTTCATAACAATGTTTACAGCAAAAAACAGCCAAAATGCCCACTGAGAGAAGAATGGATGAGCCAATGTTGATGTATTTATACAATGGAAAGAATATGCACAAACTAGTGTCTAGACCTGGGCTTGGCAAGCCACACCTGGCAGAGGCCAAATCCTGCCCACCTTCTTTTGTCCAGCCCATGAGCTAAAAATAGTTTTTATGTTTTTAAATAGTTGAAAAAATCAAAAGAAGAATGTTTCGTGACATGAAGACTATATGAAATTGACCTTTCTGAGCTATCGGGTTTTCCTGGAGCACATCCAGGCCCATCTGCTCACGTACCACCTGTGGCATGGTCAGGCTCCTTGCAGAGCTCAGCTGCCACAGGGAATGGGGGGCCCTAAAGCTGTGGCCTGACGTAGCTGCTCTCCATATATCGCATCGATATATCCCAGAAGCACAATGTGGAATGGAAGCGCTCTGCAGACAGATATCTACACAACCGGATGTGATTTATACAGATTGTTAAATATCTGAGAAGAGAAACACCAGACTCAGGAAAGTCTGAAGGGGGGATGTAGGGGTAGAACTCTCAAAGGGGTTTTGACTTTATAACATTTTGTTTATTAAGTTGGATGGTGTATATCATATTAGTCTTTGTATCTTCTTAGAAGTCTAAAAATATTTATAATAAAAATACATAAATTACAATATTCACCTGCTAAAGATCAAATGGGACGAACAGCTAAGAAAATTTTGTAAAAGATAAACAAGAGCAACCTTGTTATATGTATTTGTAATATATTAAAAATATTACAAAGGTATGTTTTTTTTAAGATTTTATTTATTTATTTGAGAGAGAGGGAGAGAGAGAGACCATGAGCAAGGGGAGGGGCAGAGGGAGAAGGAGAGTCCTAAGCAGACCGCTTGCTTGATCCCACAACCTGAGATCACGACCTGAACAGAAACCATGAGTCAGCTGCTTAAACGACTGAGCCCCCCCAGTGCCCCTGCAAAGGTATGGTATTTAAAGCAGGACAGCACCAGCTGGGGAAAGGACCCTTCACTGGAGCCGTGTAGAAAATAAATACAGATTTAAATCTGAAAATGCAGAGATGCCACCCTGTGGTCTGCCAAACATGGGCCTGGCTCTTCCAAAATGTCAGCATTGTTAAGGACAAACAAGGTCAAGAAGACTCATTCTGGGGTGAAGGAGATGCCCCCCCCACACCTATGCCCATGTATGCATGCACACGTGCATACCGCACATGCATATCCACACACAACCACACGTGTGTATCCACACACACGCAACCCCTCACGTGCGTATCCACACACACACGACCCCCTGCGTGCGTATCCACACACACAACCACACACGTGCATATCCACAAACACAACCCCCCGCGTGCGTATCCACACACACAACCCCCCGCGTGAGTATCCACACACACACAACCCCCCACGTGCGTATCCACACACACACAACCCCCCACGTGCATATCCATACACCAAACCACACACGTGCATATCCACACACACATAACCGCCCACGTGCGTATCCATACACACAACCCCCCACGTGCGTATCCACACACACACAACCCCCCACATGCATATCCATACACCAAACCACACACATGCGTATCCACACACACACAACCCCCACACACATGCGTATCCACACACACACAACCCCCCACGTGCGTATCCATACACCAAACCACACACGTGCGTATCCACACACACAGCCCCCCGCGTGCGTATCCACACACAGCCCCCCGCGTGCGTATCCACACACACAGCCCCCCGCGTGCGTATCCACACACACACAACCCCCCACGTGCGTATGCATACACACAACCACATACGTGCGTATCCACACACACACAACCCCCCACGTGCATATCCATACACACACACACATGCGTATCCATACACACAACCACATACTTGTGTATCCATACACACACAACCACACACGTGTGTATCCATACACACACAACCCCCCACATGCATATGCATACACACACAACCACACACACGCATAGGTGTGTAAGTCCTGGAGGCAATGTGGGTCCTGAACTTGTGACTCACAAAATCTCAGTTTACAATATGTATTAAATTCTAGGATCATAGTCATGTTTCCTGATTTTCATAATTTTGGGAGGAGTCTGTTTTCAGACATAAAGGGGCTCGATGTCTGCAACTTATTCTCAGCTGGTCCAGGAACAAAGTTGTCTGACTGTGTGTGTGTGTGTGTGTGTCTACCCATCATTCATCCACCTATCTATCCACTATCCATCCATCCATCCATCCATCCATCCATCCACCCACCTATCCATCCATCCATCCATCCACCTATCCATCCATCCATCCACCTATCCATCCATCCATCCGTCTGTTCATCCATCCATCCACCCATCCATCCACCATCCACCCACCTACCCTTCCAACCATCTACCCATCCATCCATCGCCTATCCATCCATCCAACCACCTACCCATTTATTTATCCATTCTCCCATTCATCTACCACCCACCCACCCGTCCATCAATCCACCTATCCATCCATCCATCCAACCACCTATCCAACCATCCATCCATCCACCTATCCATCCATCCATCTATCCGTCTGTTCATCCATCCATCCACCCACCCACCCACCTAACCATCCATCCAACCATCCATCCATCCATCCATCCATCCATCTATCAGCCATCATCTATCTATCTATCTATCTATCTATCTATCTATCTATCTATTTATCTAACTATAATGTGGGGGAGGCAGAGGGAGGGAAGAGAAAGAATGGCAAAGCAAATGTAGTGATCAGTTAACAACTGGTGAGCCTAGGTAAAGGGTATAGTGCTATTTTTGCAACTTTGTGTACATTTGAAATTATTTCAAAATAAAAAATTAATTTGAAAAAGACATAAGCAAGAGTTTAGATGTTTAGCACATGATAAAAAAATCAATTCAAAATTCTGAGAAAAAGGAGGATAATTACTTATGGGTACTATGACAGTTAGTGAAACAGAACAGCTAGAAGAAATGGGTGGATATTTACCTAATCTCAGAATAGAGAAAAAACACAGTGAAATAAATCATTAAAGTAGACTGACAGAATTCATTACATTAAAAAAAGTTATCTGTGGATTAAGAAAACAAAGAAAGGCTAAAGGCAAATAAATGACAAGTCTGGGAAAGGTTATAATGGACAAGCAGCAGTTCCTTCATTTATAAGGAACTCTTAAAAAACAAGTACAAAAAACAAGTAGAAAAATTAGCAAAGCATGTGTATAAATAACCCACAAAAAAATAAATATATATGGCCAATAAATAGATTACAGACTTTAACACCACTAAGGATACAAGAAACTTCTAAAATATGAAATTTTTTTAACCCATCATATTGGTAAAGATTTGAAAAATAAGCGGCCTGGGTGGCTCAGCTGGTTAAGCGTCTGCCTTCAGCTCAGGTCATGATCTCAGGGTCCTGGGATCCAGCCCCGCATCGGGCTCCCTGCTCAGGGGGGAGCCTGCTTCTCCCTCTCCCTCTGTGTGTGTGTGCTTTCTCTCTCTCTCAAATAAATAAATAAAACTCGAGTGGGTAAAGCAACAGTAAAACATACATATGATGTAATTTATAATTTTATATTTATTATTTACTTAGGTAATTTAAAAAATAAAGAAGGAGGGGTGTCTGAGTGGTTTGGTTAAGGATCTGACTTTCGGTTTCAGCTCAGGGCATGATGTCAGGGTCGGGAGACTGAGCCCCACATCGGGCTCCACACTCAGCAGGGAGTCTGCCTGAGATTCTCTCTCTTCCTCTCCCTCTGCCCCTCCCTCTCTCTCTAAAATAAATAAATAAATCTTAAAAAAAAAAAATAGCAGGGGGCACCTGGGTGGCTCAGTCGGTGAAGTGTCTGCCTTCAGCTCAGGTCATGATCTCGGGGTCCTGAGATCGAGCCCCGCATCGGGCTCCCTGCTCCGCAGGAAGCCTGCTTCTAGCCCTCTCCCACTACCCCTGCTTGTGTTCCCTCTCTCACTGTGTCTCTGTCAAATAAATAAATAAAATCTAAAAAGAAAAAAAAACAGCAGGAAACACTGAGATGTTACTGGTAAGTATGCTTGGGTGCTGAAAATTGGAGGCCTTTTCAATTGTGTTTACTGGATTTTACATTTTGGACATGAAATACAATACTTAAGTGATTAGTAAACAGTTATTAGAAGTATATTTCTTAGATAAAGGAGTATTACCTGAGCTGCAAAATGGGGTTGCAACTGTCCCAAAGGGGCCTCAGGTGCGACACTCCGGTTCTGGGCCTCAGGGGTGGGCAGGGGGTGATGAGGCGGTTTCCCTAGAAACAAGGGGAGGAAAGGATTTGCTTTTTCTTTTTTTTCCTTTTTGCTTTTTTTAGAAGTCAGCTCTATGCCCAACGTGGGGCTTGAACTCACATCCCTCAGACCAGGAGTCACCGACCGAGACAGCTGGGCTCCGAAACGGTTTGCTTTCTGTGTGCACCTCGCTTCCCGATGTCCCTGGTGCCAAACACAAACACTGCAGAAATACAGCACGTTCCTGCCTACACCAGTCAGCCCTCTCTTGCAGTGCGTGTAGGGGTGACGCTGCGAGCCGCTGTTGTGACTGCAGAGTGCAAGGCCTCTCACACACAACTCTGGACACACCTCCTCCAAGCGCCGGAAATCAACACGTTCACTAACAGACCCAAAGATGTACCCTCTCTGCAGCACAGAAAAGTAAGCAGCAGAAGGTTAAGTGAATAAACTTAAAGATTCTGCTTGTAAGAGATGCTTCAGCATCCTGTCTTACTTAGAAAAGATCTAGGCAGCCAAGGAATAATCGTTTGTTAACTCAGTTTGGGTTAAGTTACCTACAGATCTTGGAAATTAATCTTTAAGCTCACATACTACAAGATACAATTACTGTTGATCTAACATTTCTCAGAATAAACCTACGTGGTTAAACACAAGCTTACTGAGGACCCCAATGAGGTTTTTGTGTGTATGAGTTGTAAATAATGATATGAACTGTATTAGTACTGATATGTACTTAATTATGTACTGTATGTACTGAAACAGAAATTTTTTAAAACCTTATAATCCATTCACTTGAAGATGGTGGTGGTGACTACACTGCATGTTAACATCTGGGTAGTTACAAAATTAGTTCTGCCACCATGGACCTCCTGGGATGGGTCCTAAAGTGCTATGTCAGTTTTCTTCCAGGAGATAAAAGGACGTGGGAAAGACAAAATTTGGAAATGAATTTATTTTCCTTAGTTTTTATTTTATTTTTTTAAAGATTTTATTTATTTATTTGAGAGAGAGAGAATGAGAGAGAGAGAGAACATGAGAGGGGGGAGGGTCAGAGGGAGAAGCAGACTCCCCGCTGAGCAGGGAGCCCGATGCGGGACTCGATCCAGGGACTCCAGGATCATGACCTGAGCCGAAGGCAGTCGCCCAACCAACTGAGCCACCCAGGCGCCCTATTTTCCTTAGTTTTTAATACCTGAGCTTAAAAGCTATGGAATCCGAAGATACACAAACGGCCAACAAGTCCATGTAAAGGTGGTCAACACCATTAGTCATCAGGGAAATGCAAAATCAAAAACAAAATCACAGTGAGATACCGCTTTGCACTCATTAGGATGGACGAAGAAAAACGTAAGTGCTGCCTGGGATGTGGAGACATCAGAACGCTCGCACATTGCTGGTGGGAAAGTAAAATGTTGCAGTTGCTGTGGGGAAAGTTTTACTTTGATGAAAAGAAAAAAGAGGGGGAAGAAAGAGACCAGAGAGAAAGTTCTGCAGTGAGGACAGTGTGTAAGGGCCGTTTACGAGCTGCGGTCCCAGCTACTTGGGGACGACCGCGGTCTGCGAGCGGATGATCCCGCACCTGCCCCACAGTCGGGTCAGCAGTAGCCTCACCCGATGCCGCAGGCCCACATCACTCCCCTCCCTCCTCCCGTCACATAGGCACTTCATCTCACAGCGTTGCAACAAAGGGGAGTACGGCTCAGTGCGATGATTTTGAGAGACCCCAGTCACAGAACTTTATTTACAATATATTGCTATAATTGCTCTATTTCATTATTAGCTATTGTTGTGAACCTCTTATTGCACCTAATTTATAAACGTTATCATGGGTAAGTACATCTAGGAAAAAACAAGGTATACACAGGGTCTGGTACTGTCCATGGTTTTAGGCACCCCCTGGGGATCACGGAATGTGTGGGTACAGGCACCCCTCTACCCACTCTGAGGCAGGATTTCCGGGGCTCCAGTCAGAAGAACGTGGACTCCTCTGACCAGAAACCAAATCAAATGGGTCAAGAATCCGTCACCGAGGACACTTGTAGAAGTCTGAATGCGCGACTTCCTAGGTATGGAGGGGCCCTTTCCCCTTCCTCTTGGCTGCTGTCATCTGAAACCCGAGAGGCCTCTGCTTCTGTAAACTGAAGGGAAGCATATCTAAGCAGCATCTTCTTGTCTCCCTAAGTCTTCCAGAACTCAGAAACTTTTGTTAAAAAGCAACTCACAGGAGGCATCCCCAGAAGCGGAAGTGAGCAGCAGGCTGGCTGCTGAGGGGCTGCGAGGGGCTGTTGAAGCAAGTTGAAGATGAACGCCAGAGGCTGTGGGCTGCAGCTAAGGGACTCTCAGCAAGCAGACCCTCTGAAAGTCATGACCTTCTTCATAAAAGGCCTGGTGTGAACAATGAACTTTTGCCCAGTCATCATCTTGAATTATCAGAAAAAAAGTTCCAGCTCAAACAAGATAAAATGAATTTTTCCACTAAAATTACAAATGGAGGGGCACCTGGGTGCCCATTTGACCAAATGGTCAAATGTCTGCCTTCGGCTCAGGTCACGATCCCGGAGTCCTGGGATCGAGCCCCACATCGGGCTCCCTGCTCAGCGGGGAGCCTGCTTCTCCCTCTGCCTCTCCCCCTGCTTGTGCGCTCTGCCTCTCAAATAAATAAAATCTTTATAAATAAATAAATAAAATTACAAATGGAATTCAAGGCAGAGCAGCAGGCTCAGGGTCTTCCATTTCTTCCGAGCTCAAACCTTTCACTGGGTATTTTCAGGGGTAATGATGAGACTATTGGATGTGAAGATATTCTTAATGAGCCGTCACAAAGTGAACTAATGGAAGAACCAGACTTGATGGTGGAATATAAACTCGGTTTCCTATAATCTATTCTGCCGTTCAGGAAAATACAGGGCCTGCATCTTGTTTATAGTCATCTTTTTACTATAATTTGATGTACACAACATTAAAAGTACTGACCCATGACAATTTTTGCCTAAACAGTATCTGTGATAATTTGAAATTATTTCTGTCTTTGGTTTATGGCCATGCGACAACTGAAAGTACTAAAGGGAGATGATTTTAAAACTTCCAATTTATATGAAAACAATAGCATTCTATGTCTTTAAAAAATTGTTGCTAATGAGTATTTGAAAACTGTCTGCAGGTTCCAATTCAGCCTATTTCCGGGGTATTCCATAAATTTAGTTTTGAATAACCATTATCAGCATTTTAGTCTGCAATCTTCATAGGTTGGTAATTGATTTCAGTGGCAACACTTCAGATTAAGTACAGAGTAAGATATTTATATTTTACCTTGTTTCAGTATGGCCCACTGATACTCATAAGAATAATATTGGCTTTATTGAAGCTATTTTAGAATTGTAGCTATTCTTTGTTTCTTTCAGGTTGAAAAGTATAAGTTCAAAGGTTTTGATTTTGGTGTTTTTATTTTTTAAAAGATTTTATTTATTTGACAGAAAGACAGCGAGAGAGGGAACACAAGCAGGGGGAGCAGCAGAGGCAGAGGGAGAAGCAGGCTTCCCACCGAGCAGGGAGCCCAACGTGGGGCTCGATCCCAGGACCCTGGGACCATGACCTGAGCCGAAGGCAGACGCTTAACCAGACTGAGTCACCCAGGCGTCTCTGGTGTCTTTAAAGTGAAAAATTAAATAAAGCAACCAGCATATGTTGATTAAAAAAAAAAAAAAGGCACAAATCACTTGCCCAAAGTGGCATCACTTAGGTCGTGTCCCAAACCAGGGCTTCATGCCTGACCAGCTGCGTTTCAAGCTCCCCCAGAAGCGCAGCCGTAACTGCTTGTCGGGACTTCTCCAATAAGCACAGAGTCTGCTGCTGGGTCCTCCCCACCCCACAGGAAGAGGTTCTCGGCCAGAGAAGACTCCAGCCCTTCCCTGTAAGGGAAGGTGATCTTGCCTTAAACAATCCCATTCTCTTGCTAATAACTTCTTGCCCCTACCCTCTTTTCTATGAAAACCTTCCATTTCGTACAGCTCTGAGGAGCTCCCTCCACTTGCTGCATGGGATGCCGCCTGATTCATGAATCACTTAATAAAAACCAATTAGATCTACACATTCACCCGGCTGGACTTTTGTTTCTTAACCCTTCTTGGTGATATGGTCATTTATTTGCACAGGTTCCCTGAGAATCTGTGCTGCTTTTTACCAGGACTTCACTGGACACATGGATGGTGCAGCCAGAGTCCTGCCTGCCTGGCCAGAGTCAAGAATGACCCTCACGTCGTTGTGAGGACAGGTCACCAGCAGGAGCTGTGAGCTAGGAAGGTCGCCTCCAGCAAGCCCGGGAGCTCAGGATATTTCTGAAACCTCGAGAAGGAAGGAATTTGCTCAGAATCATCCAGCAGATGAAATCTGGTGAGTTCTTGGCTTCCTGGCCTCAGGACACTTTTAAAGTCCAATGTGGACTCCTGACGGAAACTTCCAGCAAAGCAAACTCAGGAAGGCCCGCTAGGCGAATTAACATTCTTGCTACACCTATGGAAATAATCAGGCCAACAGACCAGGCTTATTAGTGATCACGAATAATCCTTCTTTGAGATTAGGTTTTATCAAAAGCAGAGAAAGGGTCAGAAGCAATGCGTGCTTCGATGGAAACGGCACTATGTGCAGCACGTCCTTGGACCCGTGGGGCCCGCCTCCCTGGGTCTGAACTACTCTACAGCTCTGCACGCTGATGGGCGTGCACTTCGTGCCTTGTCCCTCCAACTGTTCACCGGTGACCCCCTCCCTCTTAGAAAAACCAGTTCACTTTCCATTTGTCATTCAGTTTCTTTGTTCTGGATAAATTTGTGCTTGGGCTTTTCCTTGGAGCTGGTTGTAATATCTGACTGGCTACCTCACTGTTTAATTAACAGAAGAAAATCCTAAACCTGTGCCCACTTTCATAGCTATTTGAGCCCTATTTTACCTCTTTCTGGAAACAACCCTTTAAACACCTGATTAAAAATACCACTAGCTGTTACTGAACATCAGAAAGGACGGCACACAGCCTGAACCAGGCTGGGCTGCAGCCGCCGTGGGCGCTTCCCACCAAGTGACAGCCCAGGAAGAGGGGAAGGGGAGCGGGGCAGAAATACAAGAGCCGTGGCAAGATTTTAACACAAACGTCGTGGTTCTTGGCAGTGCAAGTTGACAAACACACATAAACTTAGAAAGAATGTTAGTAAGTATATATAATAAGGCGGCTTAACAGAACAGATTCAACACGTTTAAAAATAACTAAACAAACAAAAATAACAATTCTAAGACTCTCCTAAACAACTCAAATGAAATAGAAAACCTGGCGGGCGCCTGGGTGGCTCAGTTGGTTAAGCGACTGCCTTCGGCTCAGGTCATGGTCCCAGGGTCCTGGGATCGAGCCCCTCCATTGGGCTCCCTGCTCAGCGGGAAGCCTGCTTCTCCCTCTCCCTCTGTCTGCTGCTCTGCCTACTTGTGCTCTCTCTCCCTCTGTGTTAAATAAATAAAATTCTTAAAAAAAAAAAAAAGAAATAGAAAACCTGGGTGCATAATGGCAGATTATCTGGAATACTGTTAATACTGTCCCTGAAAACCTGAGAACAGCCAAAGCAGTACTCAGGTGGAAAATTCACACCTTAAAAAAATGCAATCACTAAACAAGAAAGAATAAAGTGAATGTTAAAGAAATCAGGAAAAGAACAATCAAAGCCAAGGAAAGGAAAGAACAAACACAAAATGCAAACTCCTTGTAAAGACCCAGAAATCCATCCACTGGCTCCAAATAGTTACCTTTGGGGAACCCCCGGGAGGCAGGAGAGGAGGCGGCGAGAGAGGAGAGATTTCCAGTAGGTCTAATGAGGTCGATCTCCAGAAGAGATCAGAAACAAATAGGAAGAAGAGTATTTAAAGAAACAATGGCTGAGAATTTCAAAGAATGGGAAAAACAACGAACCAACCATAAGTCTTAAGATTTCAGAAAACCAACCGATTCCTGAGCAGGTTAAATTAAGGCAAACTGACCCCATCCAGACACCGGCTGGTAACACAGGAGAAAGGCAGCCAGAGAGAAAAGGGAGTCCCTCCCCAAGGATGGGGCTCCGACCGAGGGCCAATTTCTCTGAGGACACTGGGACACTTGTTTTAAAAAAGGCTGCAAGAAAATGCCAGCATTAGGTTCTTGTTGCAACCAAGCCATCATTCTAGAAAGTGGTCAAAATACAATCATTTGATGATGACAAACGCATGCACTGCCCCCGCACCAGTGACATGGGGGATGCTGGTGTCTAAGATCTAGCCCAACACAAGTCGAGTCAAGCAGGACACACAACATGACTGAAAATCACTGCTTCTACATCAGGATAGTTTTACAACAGGATTTTAGATGTGTGTGTAATTATGAATAATAAATGTAAGTGACGATTTTGGTATTTATGTGCACATGCCTAATAAGTAGTTGGGTTAGCAAGCTAATTAAAGCTAGGTCCCTAATCTGTTGTTTTGTTTTAAGATTTTATTTATTTGAGAGTGAGAGAGCACAAGCTGGGGGAGAGGCAGAGACAGAGGGGGAAGCAGGCCTCTCGCGGAGCAGGGAGCCCGACGCAGGGCTCGATCCCAGGACCCGGGGATCATGACCTGAGCCGAAGGCAGATGCTTCACTGACTGAGCCACCCAGGCGTCCCCCAAATCATTTCTTGATGAACAAAAACTTCATCAGGAAAATGACATGATAAGGAAACACAAAAGGCTCCACGCTGCATGATTCCAGCTGTGCGACACGAGGGGAAGCAGAACCACAGGGACAGTGAAGGTCAGTGGCCGCCAGGGAGCGGAGGAGTATGCGGGCGGGGCACAGAGGTTTCTAGTAAAACTACAGTGCCCGGCGCCTGGGTGTCAGTCGTTGGGCGACTGCCTTCGGCTCAGGTCATGATCCTGGAGTCCCAGGATCGAGTCCCACATCAGGCTCCCTGCTCAGCGGGGAGTCTGCTTCTCCCTCTGACCCTCTTCCCTCTCGTGCTCTCTGTCTCCCATTCTCTCTCTCTCACATAAATAAATAAAATCTTTAAAAAAAAAAAAAAAAAAACTACAGTCCCGTGGTGGATACGTGTGGTGACACGTCTGTCCCAACCTGTACGATGTCCAGCACCAAGAAGACCCCAGAGGTGAGCGTGGACTCTGGTGCTGACGGTGTGTCGGGGAGGTTTGTGGCTCGTGATCAGTGCACCACTGCGGTGGGATGTTGATCACGGGAGGCTGGGGGGGAATCTCTGTACCTTCCCGACAGTTCTGGTGTGAACCTAAAACTGCTCTAAAACACAAAGTCTTTATAACAGTGTTCGATGTTAGGACCCCTGGAAATAACCTTTTGAGGAACGCTGGCTTCACACGAGATCCAGACGGTGTGTGCAGCTGGGGTTTCTGGGAAAAGCAGAGTTGGCAGGAGGACGGCATGAAGGGAGAGGCCCCACAGGTGGGTGGTATGCAGTCTCCACCTCAGAGGTGAGGGGTGAGCACTCAGACGAGGGCCGCTCCACAGCCTGTGTGCCCCCTCACACTGGGCTGGCGGAGCGGGCCGAGGGCCAGGTGCAGCCTGACCACAGGGCCACACGCCGTCTGCCCATCTGTCAGTGCAGATCCCAAGGCCTGACCTGAGCGGGAGGGGCAGGGCCAGCACGGGAGCCTGACCCTGGTGGCAGGGCATGTGGGATGAAGACTGGGCAGCTAGAACCACGGCCAGTGAAGGGGCCAGACTGCCAGCTCCCTGTGAGGATGGGGCCCTTCCCAAAAGCAGCTGGGGGCAGACACGCCCTGGGCCAGGTGCAGGTAAGCCCCGGGGTCTGCCTGCACCGGGAAACACCGGCAGATGGATGGAGGAGCTGAGGCACCACCTTGGCCCCTGGGCCCCTGGCCCACAGCAGCCCTCAGCAAGACAGCTCTGAACACAGGCCTCCTCTTCAGATTTCCTCGGTGGTCTGCACCCTCTCTCTCAGAGACATGGCGCTCCCTCCTGCTCTGCGGCCTGAGTTCTCCCACGTTCTGCTTCCTACTCACGAGGTAATTCTACTCGTCATATTCAGATCAAAAACACTAACATAATAAAAAGTACTATTATTATCCACACGGCTTAGCTGTGGGAAGTTCTGAGGACGAAGCACACGGCCCAACCTTCCCCTCCCTTTCCTTGCGTTGGGTAGTTAGGAATCAGGAGGACTTGCCCAGGGAAGCTAAGGCCATAGCTGAGAGGAAACGCTTTTTGCTGATGTTCCCTTTGTGGTGCTCTGGGCTCTACTTTTAAAGCAGAGTAGTTGGTGGGTGTGCAGCCCTCCAACATCACCTCCACTTTTAGACAATGGATGAGAGAGGGAATGGCTGTCTCCCATCGACCATGGGTGGAACCCAAAGTCCCTCATCTCTGATCATCACAGTATCTCAAAGTTCTTGCTGGAAAAGCATGGAGAGGCAGAAGCCATGTAAGGTGAGGGGATACAGCGTGAGGAATGGGGGCGCCACTGGGAAACGAGAGGGCCTGCTTGTGAAGGTGGTCTGAGAGCCACGTGGCCCGTGAGCGTTCGATCTGGGCAAGGCTGCTCCTGGCTGGCCGTGGTGACAACCATGCAGCCACCCCAGGAAGGACATCGTCTTGCCCACCAACATTGGTGCTTATGGTCCTCTAGCAACAGGGGCCTTGGCTTGGCGCTGGCAGCTGGATGTCTGCTCTCAACGGATGACTCTATACCGACCCTTCCAAGAACCCACTGGTAGAAAGGTGCACCTCAGCTAAATTTGGACCTTATTCCTTCTATCTCTCCTTGCATAGAACAGTGGTGTGATTATTTGTCATTGATTCGGAGCATATTATTTCCTTATTGGCTTGTTAAGAGACAGTATCCTGTATGCTACTGGCTTATGAAATATTATTATTATAAATTATCATTCCTGCGGTGAACCCATGTTGAATAAATTATCAGCAAAGACAGTATCAGTCTGAGCACAGCTTGCAGCAGACAGAGCCCTGGGCTTCTGTGTCCTCTGTGGCAGCCTGGGCCTGACCTGCATGCCTGGAACAAGGGCACGCCTCTTTCTAGTCTGGTTGGAGCGCTGCCTGTCTTTCTTGGGAACCAGGGCCCTCTGAGACACCTGCGGGCAGCTGGAGGTCTCAGGCCGGGTCCCAGTGGACACACAGCGGCTGTTGGCGACAAGTCTGGGCTGAGCCAGCCGAGAACACGGTGGCCGCGGCTCCCCACAACGCAGCACAGAAATGCCGCCTGTTTTGCTAAGTGCAGTATTTTTCTCACAAATGCTGCCCGAGGCACGGGTTCATGGAACTCCCATCGCAGGATGAAGCTCTGCTCTGTGCCCGTGACTCATGACCCCGGCTTTACTCCACAAGGGCAGCTTCTGTTCTCCCTCCTTCCTGCCTGAGAAGTCAGGCCAGACCCTCCCTCAGGGCAGCAAAGCTTCTCTCCTCCCACCTCCCAGGTCTCCCCCCCCCCACCGCCCCTTCCAAAGGAGCAGGCAAGAAGAAAGCCCTTCTGGGAAGGCCCCCGGGCCCCCTGACCCCACAGCCTGGCAGTGCAAGACACAGCTCCCAAACTCACCTGGGGCATGGTGGCCCAGCTCTGCACGGAGCCTGTTACCCATCTCCAGGAGCTGTTCTTTCTCCAGGCAGAGGCGGAGGATTTTTTGGGCTGCCTCCTTTAGTTTTCTCTGGAGTTGGGGCACAGACAAGGCCTGTGGGGGCTGTGGCCCTTGGTCCTCTGTCCCTGTGGGTCCTTGGTCTTCACGGACCTGTGAACGAAGCCACAGGTAGACAGCCCATAAGACAAGCCATCCAAGTGGGAGAGGGGTGAGTAGGTGTGGGTGCAGAGCCCGCACCACTGGGGGACAAAGGGAGAAGCAGTGTGCTTTGGCAATGAGACGGGGACCTCACACCATGGACACCTCCTCCTCCACAAGTTGGGTGAACAAAGGCCACGAACCCCTGGGCCTGGCCTGCTTCTGGCCCCTTGCGGCCCCCACCAAGCCTGTGTCTTTCTAGTGAGGACAATGAGGAACCACTTGGGACCCATGCCCAACTTCCAATGGGCCCCCAGGACCCCTGTGTGGCACCAGGGTTATGGGCTGGGTACGTGGGTCACAGGTGCTGGGGTCACCTGGTGTGGAAGGGGCTGGCAGAGGCCTGATGGACAGCCTGTGGCAGGTGCCTCCACTACTTCCTCCCTGCCTGGACTCTGCTGTGGGGTCACTGTGCTGGGTCATGGCCAACATGGCCCCCTACCGACACGCACTCACACTTGCACGGTGTTCGGAATGAGGGGGTGTGGAGAATCAGAGAAAGGAAAAGACAAATGTGTGTGTGCCAGACAGAGGCCCAGGAAGAACCGGAGTCCAAGGACCCAAAGTGGCCTACTTAGGCACGGTGGCTCCTGACACCCGTGAAAAGCTGCACTGTGCCCTGTCTTGGCCCCATGAGCTGGAGCCAGAACAGGAACCAGCCTGGAGTCCCTGGAACAGACCAGCACGTTCTGTCCTGGCCCCATTTCCTGGTATGCCTTTGCAGGGCTGGCAGGCGCCCGTGTTCTTCAGGTGGCCTGGAGCCGCGGTGGCCACACAGGGGTGCATCCAGCACATGCCACAGAGAGGTTGGACAGGATGAGAGATAGGGGAGGTGAGGCAACAGAGGAGAGTGGGAGACGGCCCTGGGGCTGCACAGCCGCCCCTGCTCCCAAATCCTGACCCCGTTACCCCGTGACGGAACGTGGGCTTGCACTCTCCTGAGGGCCCAGGATGTGACTGGGGTCCTTGGGCCTGTGGAGGGGCTGGGACAGACCCCGAGGAAGGGAGGTCGGAGGCCCGGCCTCCACAGGAACATGACATTGGGAGTCTCCTGTGCCATTTTAAGTGAGGAAAGATACTCTGCAAACCCCAGAACGCTGAGACTCTCAAGAGAAAGGTCGCTTTTGAGAGCAAACCCCAGCCCACAAGGCAGCGCCCCAGCATGAGCGGGGAGCCGACCCCTCAGCAGGGCCTGTGGCCAGGGTCTCGGCTGGCCGGGGTGCCCTAGTCACCTGGCTGCATGCAGCGAGTAGGTGTAGCAGCCAGGGGCCCCCACCCGGGGCTCTGTTTCTGATGCCATTACTCTGATGGCTTTCTCAAGTCTCTGCCCACACCCACCATGTAACACTCATCAGGACGCATTCCGGGACTACCAAACCACTGCGTGCTTCGGGGCCCCCGTGGCCCCCCATGCTGGCCCTGTCTGCCCTCGCCATCTCAGGGGTTGCTCCCAGAATCCTGGCCAGAGAGGGCTTGGCCAGTAGAGGGGTCCTCAGGAGGGAGGGTTCTGCTCCCAAGGGCAGCGGCAACGGCGCTCCCCAGAGGCTGACGTCAGAGCATGCCCCAACTCGGGGGCGCAGCGGGGTGCTTGCCAGGGCCGCCGGCTCTCGCGGTGGACATTGGGGATCCCAGTCCTTCTGGAGGTTCCCAGGGGTGCAGGCAGGGCTGGCGAACACTGCCCCCCGGTGGAGCCCAGTGTCAGTCCGCTGTGCCCAGGGGACTGGGTGGAGCACTGCACAGGAGGCGGCGAGAGCCCCGGGTCTCAGTCAGTTCACCAGGCTGGGGGTCACTGGAGACACGACAGATGCTGGTCGGGCAGTGGTCTCTGCTGCCTGCAGGGGAAGGGGCTCCGAGTTCCGCACGGGCCCTTGTCCTGGGCTCAGGAGTGGGGGACCGGCCTCCACCCGGGAGAATGTCGGACTCGCACGGGAGCTGCCGGCAGTGCCGTGGTGGCACCGGCCCCTCTGCTTCGTCGCCACCAGTCCCACGTGCCATATGCATTTCTTCCTGAACCACGGCCAGTAGGGTGGAGACATCGTGCTCATTTACACCTCAATGCTTCAGTTCATGCTTACTAAAAATGGACATTCTCTTTGTAACCAGTTATGAAAACCAGAAATTTACCACAGATACAACACTATGACCCAACACACGGGCCACACACAAACCTTACCGACTGTCCAATTGTGTCCTACAGTTTGTTTCTCCCGCCCAGGGCACAGGACCCCACAGGACATCTGCCTCCCTGGTCCCTGCAGGCTCCTGATGGGCACACTCTCCACGGTGCGGGCCCTCTGACTTCAGTGCATCACTCCTGGCTGGAGTCAGCGGTGAGGCTGCAAGCCCCCTCCCTCCCTCCCCCCCCGCCCCGCACAGCTGGCTTTGAAGCCCAGCACATCCCTCTGCCCCACTGTCCACGAGTGCATCCCTCAGTGAACGAGTGTCTGTAGGCTGCCCCCTGGAAAGTTTTCTTTTCCCTGTAACTGAGCCGCCACCAGTGGGAGACACTGAGTCCCAGCCCTGCTTTTCCTTTGTGCATTAGGATGGCCTCCTGGCGTACGCCCCTCCATGTCTGCAGACGATGTTCTAGCCAAGGACCAGCCCTCCTCCCTCCTCCCTCTCCTAGTCAGCACAGACCTGGGAGTCCCGCTTATTGTGTGTTCAATGCCTGGCGGCCCTTCGGTGCCTGAGTCCTTCTGCCCCATTTCCATGAGTCCATGGTGGAGTCCGCCACTTATCCTACTTCCTCTCAGCAGAGCAAGAAATTCAGAAACCAGGATCTCGGCACTGGTGGCGCTCAAGGCTCCTGGGCCGCCAAGGTGCTGGCCCTCCTGCAGTAGACCTGGTCTGGGCACAGGGACCAGCCACTGGATTTCTCCCCAAGGTCCCAGTCATTTCAGCTCCAGCCTGTCAGTCACAGAATTAAACATCTCTATTTTAAATCCGGCTGATGCACATGATTTCTTCCCTCTAAGCAAGCAGGATCTGTGAACCAGGGTGTTAACAGAACCCCTAGTGCTGCTGACCTCAGGGCCGAGCATGGGCAGCACCTGGAATGAATGGCGGACACGGGGTGAGGCAGACGTGCTGCCCGCCTGCCTCCGCGGCTATGTGGCCCCATGGCCAGGATGGTGTCCTCGAGCTGCAGGATGGAGGGAGGCCTGGCACGGGGCCGGGGCTCTGGCTCTCCAGGCGGTGTCTGCTTAAGGGCAGTGCAGGTGGTTCTGGGTCCCACTTCCTGGTGACCTGAAGGCCTCCCCTTTGCTGCTGTTCTTCACCTGTCTGTCCATCCCCAGGCCTGTCTGGGCCCTCCTGTCATTCCTGAGCCAGAGAGGAGTGGACCTCCCCTCCCCTCCAGTCCTTCAGGGCCGGCCGTCATCCTAGAGCCGAGTCCCCCTTGTGCCTCTCAGCACAGCCTTCTTCTTTTTTGTTTTTTTAATATTTTATTTATTTGACAGAGAGGTAGAGAGAGAGCACAGGTAGGCAGAGTGGCAGGCAGTGGGAAAGGGAGAAGCAGGCTCTCCGCTGAGCAGGGAGCCGGATGTGGGGCTCGATCCCAGGACCCCAGGATCAGGACCTGAACCAAAGGCAGCCACCCAACCGACTGAGCCACCCAGGCGCCCCTCAGCACTGCCTTCTATGTCTACACTGCTGCTGCCAGAGAGCTCTCCACGCCTCCCAGACACCAGGGTACAGTTGTAACTGCAGGCCCCCGTGGGTGACGCAGGTCACCAGAGGTCACCACAGGTAACCCAGGAACTGTAGTCACCACAGGTAACCCAGGAACTGTAGTCACCACGGGTAACCCAGGTCACTGCTGGTCATCACAGGTAACCCAGGTCACTGCAGGTCACCACAGATAACCCAGGAACTGTAGTCACCACGGGTAACCCAGGTCACTGCAGTCACCACAGGTAACCCAGGAACTGTAGTCGCCACAGATAACCCAGGAATTGTATGTCACCACGGGTAATCGAGGTCACTGCTGGTCACCACGGGTAACACAGGTCACTGCAGGTTACTACAGGTAACCCAGGTCACTGCAGGTCACCACAGATAACCCAGGAACTGTAAGTCACCATGGGTAACACAGGTCACTGTAGGTCACTAGGGGTAACACAGGTCACTGCCGGTCACCATGGGTAACTGCAGGTACCACAGGTCACCAAAGATAATCACAGGTGACCCAGGTCACCACAGGTAACCGACAGAGTAAGAAAGTGCGCGTTTAACAGCATTTCCATCACAGCCGTCAGTAAGAAGAGAAGCGGCCTGTGTGTCAGATCTGTGGGGACGGCTGCTGCAGGGCTCTCTCCACAGCTCAGAACCGTGGCTTAAACCAGCCACAGAGCCTGCTGGACACCAGGTGCGGAGGGCCAGGACCAGGATGGAAGCCCCACTGTCACGAGTGAAGGGGTGGCAGCCTCAAACACGCTGAGAATCCCCACAAGGGTCCTCTCGAAGGAGAAACCCAATTTTGCATTCAATTTCAGGGCCCTTCTAGCAAGAGTCAGGGACTCCCTTTTAGAGGAAACAGAACAGCCCTCTTCATATGTGTGGTTCCCACGCAGGACTTTTTTTTTTAAGACTTGTTTCTTTACTTTAGAGAGGGGGGAGGGGCAGAGAGAGAGAATCTCAAGCAGACTCGCCACTGAGCGCAGAACCTGACATGGGGTTTGATGTCATGACTGTGAAATCGTGACCTGAGCCGAAACCAAGAGTTGGACGCCTCACCGACTGAGCCACCCAGGTGCCCCATCCTATGCTGGACTTTTAAGTGGCAGGATCCTAAGGCCTGGAGGTCACGGACCAGGTCTGATCATGGAAGCCAGCCGAGGCGCAAGTGGAGGAGAGTGGGGCGCAGCACCCCAGGGGCCCAGGAAGGCTCTGCAGACGGCCATTCCAGTGACTTCCGCAGCAGGCCCCAGACAGTACAGCAGTGGCAGGAGCAATCAGCACAGGGCACCTACCTCCTTCCCAGGGGCCACCTTGTCCAAGGCTTGCAACTGTGGCCTGCTCCCAAGATGCTCCTCAAGCTCAGCCACCTGCTTCCGCAGCTCTGAAACCTCCAGGTGCACCTGGTCCACCTCACGGGGAAGCTCGTGCTGGATGGTGTCCATGTCCAGGGGTCGCTGCAGCACCTGGGAGGCCGTTTCAGGGGCAATGTTAGGAAGGAGGGTAGGAGGGCGGGGAAGCAGAAGGGCAGAGGCACCCAGCAGAAACTGCAGGCGGATCAGAAAGGAAATGCATTTGTCAGTCTCTGGTCTCTGGCTTAATGCAGTTGCTCCCCACACCTGTCCCTTGCAGTGTGGACTTGGGTGCCTGTGGTAGAGCCTGCACTGGACCCCAAGGCTGGCTGGGGAGCATCCAGGCCTTAAACTGTCTGGACAGAGGCAGAGGGCCTAAAACCCGTTCCTGAGCCCAGTTTAGGCGGAAACAAACACATGCAGAAAACGCAGGTAACCAGTAGGGGGCAATCCGGGGCTTGGGGCCGGAGGTGGCGTGGTGGGAGGGGTGAGGCCATGGCTTTGAGGAGGAGCTAAGTGACAGGCCGAGCGAGCAGGAGCACGGAAGGCAGACAGAGGGTCAGGAAGGGAAGTCCCAGGCACAGGGAGGCCTTGGTCCTTACAGGTCCGCCGCGGACCCTCACTCTGGTAGCCCTTCTGGACATCTGCCCTTCTGCTGACATGAGGGAGAAGGGAGGAAGTGACAGAGTGACACTCTCTACACTCATTTCCATTTTATTCTCAGGAAGACGAAATATGTACCTATTCCAGGTATTCCTAGAACAAATTCCTGGTGAATATTTTTTCTTTGAATTTGTCACATACACACCAAAAAAGGTGACCGTTTGGTAAACAGACACCGTTAATTAAAAAAACAAATACACCTTGAGGTGGACGTTTGTCCCCATGATAATCATATCATCTACTATTATCAAGAGAAAATTAAAAGCTTGTATTTAAATGTCTATTTCCTGTTTGTGACGTTCCCACGGTGGGCAGAGCGGGAAGCAGCAAGTCTGAGCGTCCTGAGCCCCCTCCCCTCAAGCCAGGAGGAGCAACAGGAGAGCGCTAAGTCCCCTCCATCGTGACAGTGAGATTGCTCTCAATCAGGGTAAAGGGCCAGCCTCCGGAGCACCACAGACAGCAGCTGGAGAGCTCAGAATGAGCTGCATCCAGCGGCGTGTTCTGCTTCACACAAGCTGCAGAGCATATAGGGCAAGGTGACTTAAGGACTTATGGACTTAAAAGGACACATGAAAACTCCCTCTTCTTGTTGCCTCATGAAAAACATATCTGTGCAAAAGGCAACAGGACGGTATGACACCAAAAGTACAAGCAATAAAAAAATATAGACAAAACAGGGCTGCCTGGGTGGCTCAGTCATTAAGCGTCTGCCTTCGGCTCAGGTCGTGATCCCAGGGTTCTGGGATCGAGCCCCGCATCGCATCAGGCTCCCTGCTTAACGGGGAATCTGCTTTTCCCTCTCCCTCTACTTCTCCCCCTGCTTGTGCTCTCTCTCTCTCTCGCTCACTCTCTCAAAAAAAAGGAATAAAATCTTTTAAATAAATAAATAAACAAACATAGACAAAACTGGTAATCATAAAAACTAAAAACATTTGTGCTTTGAAGCAAATTATCAAGAAAGTGAAAAGATGGGGTGCCTGGGTGGCTCAGTTGGTTAAGTATCTGCCTTCGACTCAGGTCATGATCCCAGGGTCCTGGGATCGAGTCCCACATTGGGTTCCACGCTCTGCGGGGCGTCTGCTTCTCCCTCTCCCTCTGCCACTGCTTCCCCAGCTTGTGCTCTGTCTCTGACAAATAAGTAAAATCTTTAAAAAAAAAAAATGAAGAGAGAAGCCTCAGATGGGAGAAAAAGGGGCACCTGGGTGGCTCAGTCGTTAAGCGTCTGCCTTCAGCTCAGGTCATGGTCCCAGGGTCCTGGGATCGAGCCCCACATCGGGCTCCCTGCTCAGCGGGGAGCCTGCTTCTCCCTCTCCCACCCCCCCCCGCTTGTGTTCCCTCTCTCGCTGTGTCTCTCTCTGTCAAATAAATAAATAAAATCTTAAAAAAAAAAAAAGAATGGGAGAAAAATTTTGTGAATTGTACATCTGATAAGGGACTAGTAGTATCCAGAATATATAAAGAACTCTTAGAACCCCAACAATAAAAAGACAAACGACCCAACTACAAATGGGCAAAGGATCTGAATAGACATTTTTCCAAAGAAGATGTACAAATGGCCAGTGAGCACATGAGATGAAGCTCCACATCATTACTCATCAGGGAAAACGCAAATCAAAACCACAGTGAGGTACCACTTTGCACCCGCTGGATTGGCCAGAATTAAAAAGACAGAAAACAGGTCATGTGGGTCCGGATGTGGGCTGTCGGGACCCTCACACACGGCCGGGGGCACATAAGACGGTGCAGTCGCGTGGGAAAATGGTTTTGTGGTTCTTCAAAGAGTGAAATATAGACTTACCATGTGACCCAGCAATCCCGCTCCTACATGTGTACCCAAAAGAATGGGAAGCAGGGACGTGCACAGATGTTTGCACACCACGTTCACAGCATTACTCACAAGTGCCAAAATGTGGAAACCACCAAGTGTCCGTTGGATGAATGGATCCACACGGTATGGATACAACTCAGGCCTCAGAAGGCATCAAGGACTGACTGATGCGCCCACCTGCGGAGGAACCTTGAGGACATGGTGCTGAGGGAAATGAGCTGGTCACAAAAGGACAGCTGCCGCGGGACCCCGGTCCCAGGAGAGTCATCCAGCCCAGCGGCAGGACGGATGTCCCCAGGGGAAGGGGTGTGGGGCTGGTGATGAATGGGGACAGTTTCTGTTCAGATGATGGAAAAGTTCTGGGCATAATAGATGGTGGTGACATTTACAGTGTTGTGAACATAGTTCATGTCACTGAACATGTGCTTGAAAACTGTAAGCTTTATGTTTGTATATTTTACCCCAATGAAAAACACACTAAAAAAAGAGAAATGAATTTGTAGCAATAAAGCGCGGGCACACGGGTGACAGGGGGAGCTCGTGTGCCAGGAAGCAGCGGGCATCGGCCCGGTGCGGGACTGTGGCCTGACCCCACGCAGGCTGCCGGGGTGTCTGGGCGTGCGCTCATCGCTGGCCCTGCCCCCACCACAGCTCAGCACCTGGGCGCGCTGCGGCGCGTCGCACCCCCTGGCAGGTAGCAGCCCTGTGTGCGGCAGACAGTACAGGCTCTGGGCTCATCTACCAGGTCTTCCTGTGCGCCTTCTGGGACCACACGTGACCTCACAACAACCTCTGCTTTGGGGGGAAACTGAGGCACAGAGAGGCCAAGCGGTCCAGCCAGAGACCTGCCCAGCCCAGTGTCAAGGGGAGGCCGTACCTTCCGCCTGAGCCGGGCCACCAGGAAGTTGGTGAGATGTGCCCTGTCCCTGATCCTCCTGAGTGCTAGCCCAATGGGTGAACCATCAGCTGACGCAGCTCCTCCTGCAGAAAGAGTGATTCTGTCAGGCTCAGGTCTCCTAAAGCCTCGGGGAAGGTCCTGGGAGTAGAGGCTGTGCCGTCCAGGGCAGAGGTGCACGCTTCACTGCCCTTCCCTAGGGGTGCCCACTGTCACTGTACGTCCACTGGGAAGTGAAGACGCTCTAGAGCTGAGTGCAAGGGGCCAGGTCCCCACAAAGACTGAGAGGCGCTGGGGATGAAGTCTCACCCTCATGTCAAGGAAGCAGGAATCTCTGCAGGAAAACAGAGGCCTCCAGGCCTTGCCACCTAGTGCCTGGTGGAGGCTGGTCTGCACCCGCCTCCCAGTCGCTTGGGAATTGGGGAAATGTTCCTACGACCATAGCTCAAAGAAGGGATGAGTGGAGGTTAGAAATTATTCTGACCTGAATTATCATTACTACACCGCTTATCAAAACTTCTGGAACGCAGGGCCGCCTGGCCGGCTGTCGGTGGACTGTGCAACTCCTGATCTCGGCTCAGGTCATGATCTCAGGGTTGTGAGGTCGAGTCCTGCTTTCGGCTCTGCGCTGAGGGGGGAGTCTGCTTCTCTCCCTCTCCCTCTGCCCCTCCCCCTGCTTGCGCATGCTGTCTCTCAAATGAATAAATAAATCTTTTAAAAAATTTAAAAACAGGGGCGCCCAGTGGCTCAGTTGGTTAAGCATCTGCCTTTGGCTCAGGTCAGGATCCTGGGGTCCTGGGGTCGAATCCTGCATCCAGGCTCCCTGCTCAGGGAGGAGCCTGCTTCTCCCTCTGCCCCTTAGCCCTGCTCTCGTTCTCTCTCTCACTCTCTCTCTCAAATAAATAAATTACAGTAAAATAAAATAAAATTGTTAGGACAATACTATAGGCAATTTTTGAAAATCTAGATGAAATGGACAATTTTCTAGTAAAATATAGTATCAAAAAGTGACACATGAAAAAGAAAATCGGGATCGTCCTTTACTGTGAAAAAAACTGAATTCACACTTTAAAACCTTCTCACAAGGAAAATCCTAAACCCAAAGGGGCTCAGAGTTGAATTCTATTAATTGGTTCAGGAAAAATTAACATAGGCCTAATATAAACTTTTTCAGAAAACAGAAATAGGGAACATCTCCCAACACATTTGACCCAGACCCATGGTCCTAAAACTTGACAATGGGCATCATGAGAAAGAAAGGGTACAGCCAATGTCACTCACGAACATAAACGTATTAATTCTCAGTAAAATAGCAGTAAAAGAATATATCACGTGTTGAGTTTATTCCAGAGACGTAAAGTTGGTTTAACGTTCAAAAACCAACGCAAGCTAGCTGTTCTGGACAAGATAGCATGTGCGTGCCCCGTCCCTCTCCTTCGGTGCAGCTGAAAGCCCAAAGCGACTGTGAGGGGAGGCCTGGCGGGCAAGGGCCAGGGGCTCCAGGGATGGGGACGCTCCGCAGTCGGCTCCGCGTCATTTTCCTTCCTGTATTTCCCAGCTCTGATGCTGGAGCAGCCGCAACCCAGACGCACCAGGGAGCTCGGACCAAGAACGGCCCCAGCCAGGCCTGTTCCCTGCAGCGGAAGGGCCACAGGGAAGGGAGACTCCGCAGGTGGGCCTGGTGCAGACAGAGGCTCATCTGCACCAGCCGCCTGCACCCTCCCGGGAAGGGCATGTGTGGAGGGTGCGGTGGGGGGGGGCGCAGAGAAAGGAATTCCTTAACTCTGCACCAAGTCCCCGAGGGGCCCCTATGGAAACCGGGCAGCATGGAGACAGCCAAAGTGTTGCGAGCTGAGCTCTGCTGGGGGCGGGGGGTGGGGGGGGAAGAGTGCCAGGACCATGGCCTCAGGCCGCACACAAGGAAGCACAGCAGAACAGCATCATCGCAAAGACTCTGGAGACCAAGTGGCCGTTCAGACCCAGCCCGAGAGAGTGGGCCAGGACACAGACGTGCATTGTGCCCAAGCAAGGTGGAGGGCCCGATAGTGCAGAAGGGGAATAAAACAGATGTCATAAAGATCGGAGTTTCAGAGCAGCCACTCGGTATGTGCGTGTCACAATCCAAAGTCTCTCATCACACCGATAACCGGGAAAATCCCAACTTGAATGGAGCACTGAGCAGGGCAGATCAGGATCATGCGGATTAGGGAACAAGGAACCTAAAGCAAGAATGTATCAACAGTCTTAAAACAATGGAAAAAGAAAAGTTTCAGCAGAGCAATAAAAGATAAAGAAAAACACAACAGAATCTTAGAACTGAAACCAAAATAAAAGTGCCCCCGAAGGGCCCCAGAGCAGCATGGAGGTGACAGCAGGCCTGGGGGCTTGAAGACGGACATAGAGTTTGCATCTGAACAACGGAGGAAGCAGACGGAAAGAAGTCACAGAGCCACACGGACCCGGGAGGAGAACATGAGAGCGAGAGGGTTTTGTCGTCAGACTCCCGAAAGGAAAAAAAGCACGGAGTCGAGAAAACACGTGCAGAAGTCATGGTTGAAAACTCCCTGAATCTGGCAAAGACAATAACCTTCAGAGTCAAGGCCCAACATGATAAGCCAAAGAAGCATGTGTCCAGACACAGCACCATCAGATACCTGCCCCAAGCAACAGACTCGGCCTGCGACTGGTCGGGGAAAGGGTTGGACGGCAGAGGCCTTCTCGGAGGAAGTGGCACCACTGGATTAAGGGCTGAAAGCTCCTCCTCTGACACCAGCAAATACATTCCCTTCTCGGATAAACGGAAAGACTTGGCACCAGCAGACCTGCCCTAGGAGCAGACGACGCAGAATGTGGAGCATCAGGACGCAGGAAGGACGCGTGCAAAGGGCACGTGTCCGACGGAATGTCACAGACTCCACCTTTCCTCTTGAGTTCTTTATTTTTTTTTAAATGTTTTATTTATTTATTCATGAGAGTCAGAGAGAGAGAGAGAGGCAGAGGCAGAAGGAGAAGCAGGCTCCCCGCGGAGCAGGGAGCCTGATGCGGGGCTCGATCCCAGGACCCTGGGATCATGACCTGAGCCGAAGGCAGACGCCTAACCATCTGAGCCACCCACGCGCCCTCCTCTTGAGTTTTTTAAAGTATGTTTGACAGTTCAAAGCAAGAGCGATAATCCTGCCTGAAGCAGCTCCCGACGTAGGAGAGGCAGGGTTTGTGACAGCCCCGCAGGCATGGGGCGTGCGTGGCAGGCTGACCTCCACCTTCTGAGGGAGGCTGTGCAGTGTGGACAGGAGCTGGCCGTGGTCCCGCAGCCACCAAAGCTGTGCCCTCAGCAACCACGGACCTATGACAACGGAACATCAACAACGTGCGGATGACCCACGAGCAGGAAGACAGAAAACAGGCAGGAAGCGGCTGCTTACACGCCACACAAGTGCAAGCATGGACGGTGTAAGTATACTGGTTAGAAATATTAGCAAAATGGATTTTAGAAACTGACCTAGCTATGTGCTGTCCACAAGAAATTCACTTCAAATGTGGTAGAAGCACGTTAAAAGGGGAAAGGATCCCGAAGACACGCTGAGCAGACACTCACCGGGGGAGGCCAGGTTAGTGACCAAGAGCACACGGAGCGGACCCCGGGGCAAAAGGAGAGCTGCCGGGAAGAGAGGACCGTTCCGGGACCCCAGAAGGGTCCGTCCCCGTCACAGACACAGCAATCCTAGGGCTGTACGTATCCAACAAGCCTTCAAAACACATTAAGCAAAACTGACAGAAGCACAATAAAAAACAAAGATCTGCCAACAACAGGAAGAGAAAGCGATTTCCTTACTCTGACCCTGAGCCCCCAAATCCTTACCAAATATTAAAGTGAAACGTTGAAAATTTTTCTCTGGGATCAGGAAGAAAGCCAGCCGTTACCAACATCATACTGGAGATGCCAGCCAGGAAACGTGACATGAGAAAAAGAAATAAAAGATCCCAGCTTTGGGAAGCCAGCCAGCTCCTGAGCAGAGACAGGATGATCGAGAGGGGGAGTGTCCTGCTCCCTCCCTTCTCTTCTCGTAAACCATCTGCTAGGCAGCTCGAGGGCGCTGCCTGGCCTGCGTCCATCCCCCTGGTCCCCCCAGGTGGGCCCTCCACCCGGCCAGCGCCCCAGCCAGGGTGAGGGGGCGTCTGCGTGCTGTCGGAGCAGGGGTGCGGCAGGGAGGCCCCCACTCAGAGAGGTGAACCAGCGTAAACACTCTGACAACGGCCTGGCTCGGGAACTCCTGGAGGCAGGGACAGGGACCTACACTTTGTGACCATTCTTTGACCTGTGCATTTGCATTTTGAGACTTTCTGTAGGGTTTATATTTCAGTCAAAACAAAGGTAGTGTTACTGGGGCAGAGCATGCGGCAGGACGAGACAAGGACTCTTACCAGGGACTTCGGCCGAGGTGTAGACGCTGGGCTGAAAGTCGGTGGAAGGGGAGGACCTCTTTGAAGGATCTAACACATCTTCTACTTGTTCCTCCAAGGTTTTAAATTTATGCTTTAGATTTCGTATTTCTGTTTCAAGGGCCGTAACGTGATCTGCCCCCAAAAAACCAGTAAACACACAGGCACACACGTTGACACTTCCCTCCACCGTCACCAAGGCAGAGGCCCACTCGGGCTGGTGCTGCCTGCCCCCCGGCCCGCCCCCTGCAACAGCCACTGGCCTCGGTGCTCACCGAGGAGGGCTCCACAGCCCAGCAGACACCCAGCGCCCCCTCATGCGCCTTCATGCGCACAGTGTGTCTCAAGTGTGGAGGTAGAGCTGGTGCCCTCCAGTCACGGCCATTCCTGGGCCCCTCCTAACCGTGCATGCGGCGGAGCCCAGCTCGGCTACAGCACAGGACGCTCTGAGGAGAGGCCTGCTGCCCGCCACTCGAACACGGTGCCCAGCCACCCCCCTGTGCCAGGTACACAGCCTTCATGGTCTTCTTCGCTTTACCAATAAAACACTCTTATCCCACACAGAGGCACGGACTTCAGACGCTCTCTCTCCGAGGAAATGTTGCTGCCACGGTTTGAAGTAATGTTTTAAAGCAGATGTTCATGCATACGACTCCAGGGGAAGCCCATCTTGGACCCAGTGGAGACCCATGTCCCCCTGCCCGCCCCTCTCCTCCTGCTGCCCTCACCCTCACTCACCAGTAGCCTCGGCTGCTGCCTCTGGGCTTGGACGGGGCTGCTCTGTGTCGGAGGCCTGACCCCCTGATGGGGCAGGAGGAAGAATGTGGTCACTCAGGGTCTCCATTTCTTTCCTCATCTCCGAAACAGCCCTTCGTAAGCTTGTGTTTTGCTCCTGGAGCCTCTGGATCTCGCTAGATGGAAAACTTCCCCTTATTTCTTCCTCGTGATGCCTTAGGAGCATCTGTCAAGAAAGAAAGAGAATGCTCGTAGCTACAGAAGAACCGTCAGGGCCGGCCGCGTCCGCACCCCATTCGTCTGCCCTCCCGGCTCAACTGGCAACACCGAACTTCTAGTTGTCGCAAAGACAAGGCTGCTGTTGGCCAAAGGCAGCCTTTCCTGAGAAACCTGGAAGCCACCCCCCACCCGCGGGGGCGGCTGGCGTGGAAAGGACAGGCAGGAGCTGTGCTGCAGGAGGCAGGCGACATGGGGCCGTCAGCCGCCGTGAAGGCTGTTTGCGGGCACATGCCACTGCATCGCGGGGAAGACAGCCTGGCGGCTCCTCAAAGGGTTAAACACGGAGTTACTACATGACCCACAATTCCACCCCGAAAACATACGTCCACCTAAAAACTTGTACGTGCGTATTCACGGCAGTGTTTTTCACAGGAGCCAAAATGTGCAAACACAAGTGTCCCCAGTGGATGAGTGAATGAAAACAAACATGACACAGCGGAACAGTGTTCAGCCACAAAAAGGAATGAAGTTCTAATACACGCGATCACATAGATGAACCACGAAGACATGCTAAGTGGTGGTCCAAGACCTCAGTGCAGTTATGATCATAAACATACTCAAAGATTTAAAGAAAAACAGGGACATAACAGGAAGAGGAATGGAAGATAATTTTAGAAAACCAGACAGCACCCTCAGAGATGAGAAATGAGGAATTCACTGAGAGCTGGCCAGACGTCACAGAGCGGGGCTCTGTGAGCGCGAGCACGTGGCAACAGGAAGTGTTGTAGCTCAAGCACCGAGACCGAAGAGAGAGTCATCAGGCTCGGCAGAAGAAGTACTTCATTTATAACAAACGTGATGCACATGTAAGTCCACAGACCCAAGAAGTCCACCGTACCCAAATCAAGATAAACACAAAGGAAATCACAGCACAGCATGATCCCACTGCTAAAAAAGATCAGTGGTAGAGAGAAAACTCCCGAAAGTGATCAGAGGAAAACAGGGTATTACATGGTGTGCACGGGCGCAAATGCAAGGTTTCTGCCGACTCCTCATGACAGCCACTGAAACCCTCGAGACAGAGGGCTGGTGTGCAGCGTGCAGGAAGGGAACACCCCGACCGCCTTGCAATCCTACGGTCGGTGGTGGCGTCCTTCAGAAACGACAGTGACCACGAGGGGCTCACCGCAGCGGGGCCTGCTGCTGGCTGTAAACAACCAGAAAACCAGACGCATTCCAGGAAACGAGTGTGTGCCCACAGCCCAGCACAGGACCGGGATGCCGGAGGCTCGGGCCAGGGAACGCGGCTCCGCGGGCCGACTGCCCAGGTCCGGGTCTGAGCCCGAGCAGAGGCCCCGCCTCCACAGACGGGCACCTGCCGACGGCCCTGCCGCCCTGGCTGCCGCACAGGCTCCGCAGCTCCAGGCCCTCCTTCCGGCCCAGTCCTGCGGCACCGACCCACCGAGCAGAAGGTGAGCGTCCACCAAGCTCCAACACGGCCTCAGGATGACAGGCGCTAGGCAGCTCAGCGGCCGCGGGGAAGAGAAGGGCCATATGGTCAAATGTACAGCCATTTACACTGTGTTTTGAAGAATTACAAGGACATGAAACACAGTTGTCACAGAAGTGGAAAAAAACCCTCAAAATTATATATTAGCACGACCTGAACTCTATAAAAATAGTACGTGCACAGGGACACGTATTAAGACCCACAGGAAGAGGCAACTAGAGGAACCAGACTCTGCCTGAAAGGTCCGCCACGGGGGACTCCATGTGCTCGGGGGGGCCAGGCGCTGGGGCACAGCCCCTTCAAGGCTGTGAAGGGGACGCATCACACAGATGAAAGAACGGACGCTCAAGTTAATGAGGCCTGACCCAGCCACCACGCTGTCTCCACACTGCCCCCGCGTGCTCAACCCACTACCACGCCATGAACCGGGAAGTGCCCCGGAGGCTGCGAGAGGAAGCCTGCTCCGGGCCAAACAGGCGCTGAGCCGGGTTGGACCTTGGGTCCACCTGGTTTGAGGCCATGCCGCTGAACGGAGATTGTTGAATTCTTGCAGTGGCCACACCTCACTTCTCCTTCGAGAAGGAAGCTAGCTCTTTTTCTACTGAACGCAGACCTCAGGTTTCCAACACCCTCCCCCCGTCACACCCTCCACGGCCCCACTGCTCGCGGCGGACACTGCAGACAGGAAGGGCCACCTGTTTCCCTGCAAACCCCCAACCTCCCCTTCCCATACCTGTTGAACGCCTCACACAAAACCTCACAGCTGCTCCCGCACAGACCCCACGGCAGAGCCGCGTGGGACCTGCCGCTGGCCCGGCCCTGCTCAGATGCTCCCTCTGCCGCTTGTGGGGCAGGGAACACCCCTCTCAGGGTCTTGGCTCCCTCATCTGTAGGACGGAATGGCAGCATCAGCCCCCAAACCCCGGGGCAGCGCAGCCAGCTCTGAGAGCCACCGTCTCATCTGTGACATGGCGTGGTGACCTCTGTGGCACGGGCTGTGCACTGCCCTGCGCCCCGGACTGGGAGGGCCGGGGCTTCCGAGCCTGGGGCCGTCACCGCTGGGGGACTGACGCGGTCTCTGCTCAGCCTCCATGCACTTAACCGGGTGAGTGACTTTTCATAAAGGACAGAGGTCGGACTACTGGACACACAGCCCCTGGCGCTGCCCTAGAAGCTGCCTCCCCTGCTGCGTTTCCCAGATTTCCCAGCGACATGGCTTCCCTCAGGGGCCTTGAGGTGAGACATGTGGGGAGCTGGGGCTTCCTGTGACGCTGACTGTGGGGCACGTGCCTCAGGCTGGAAGCAAACGCTCCCTTGGGGACTCTGGCTAGAACCCTTCCTGCCTCTTCCAGCTTCTAGCGTGGACCCGCACTCCTCGGTGTCCCTCGGTCTGGGGCCACATCACTCTTGTGTCTGCCTCCGTCGGCACCTGGCCTTCTCCCTGTGTCTCCACGTGCTGTGCTTTTTATAAGGACGCCAGTCCTACTGGATCAGGACCCTGCTCCCGAGTGAGCTCATCTGAACTGGTTACACCCACAAAGACCTTATTTCCAAGTAAGGTCGCATCCCGAAGAGCTGGCGGTTAGGACCGGAACCTGTCTCTTCGGGGCCACCCGTCAGCCCGTGGGCCTCTCACGGTCAGTGTCAGGCTCTGGGAGGCTGTCCGTCAGCAAGGAGATCTTTGTGGGGAGAGAACATGGCCATGGCTCAGACACCAGGTATGAAGACGCGTGTCTCTGGGATAAATTCTAGCCCCTTAGTTCTGTCCTTCCTGGAGAGACGCAGCTTCCATTACAAGAGGGCCCTTGGCTACACCCTGGGATTTCCTTCCGGACGTCTGACCGTATACCACGTCCTCCAAAATCAGCCCCGACACCAACAAAGCTACCAGGACAGGAAGCATTCCTCACAATTTTTAAAGTGAGTAAGTGATCCGGCTCTGTGGCCAGTGATGTGCCAGGAAGGACACTGGTGTCCCTGCCGCCCATGGATCCCACCCCTGAGCCTTCCCACTACCCTGTGCTGCCGAGGCCTGAGGGAGCCTCTGTGGTCATGTGCCACGTCCTCTCCAAGGCTGTGGCTCCCGCCCAGTTGTCCTCACAGGCACTGGGTCATTTTCCTGGGTTCTGACCATTCTCACGAATGACCGAGACAGGATCATCAGATGTCAACTCTGGGCCTGCACCAGAACTTACAATTCTTGAGAGAAAAAGCAGAGGTCTTGGGTCCCATACACGGGTTAGGACAAGTTAGGAACACATATATATACACGTACGTCTTAGTAACCTCTACCCCCAGCGTGGGGGTCAAACTCGACCCTGAGTTCAAGAGTCACGTGCTCTACAGACTGAGCTGGCCAAGCACCCCAAATTACAAAAATCTTGACACTGGTTAGGAGCTGGGCTCTGGACACACGGCCAGCACATCGTCTTGTAGGAAACCTTACCCACCTGGATCCCCGTGACAAGCCAGAAGTCTGAGCGGCTGCTGCCCTTGGGGTGCGGACAGGGACCAACGGGAAGGGGTGAGGGGAACCTCCAGGGTGATAGAAATGCTCTGTATCTTGTTGGAGGGCTGGGCCCCATGGGCACAGTCGTGGCAAACACACTGACCTGTGCGCACCGAAGATCTGTGTGTTTCACTGTGTGTCAAATGAAACAAGAACCGTTCACGGGCCTGGAAAAATCCTCCACCTGCCCCTCCCGCTCCCCCACCTCATGCTGCCCCTGCCCCTCTGACCATGGACCTTGGAGCCCAGCCCTGCTCCTTCCAAACCGCTCCGCAGGGTCCCTGTGTCTCGGGCCATGGCACCGACCTCAGCATCGGAGGATCCAAGGGCCAGGACAGAGGTCTCGGCAGACCTGCCTGACTCAGGCAGTCCCTGCGGACGGGGTCATGGCCCACAGTGACCCCCACAACAGCTCTGTGGAGGCCACGGAAGCAACGGTACACTAACCATCTGTACGGCAGAATGTTGGAATGTGGGTGTTTTTGAGGTTTCAAGAGCTAAAGATATGAAGAAGAGTCTGAGCACGGAGTCACCTCAGCTCTTCCGGGGGCCAGACTGGCCCCTGTTGTGCCGACAGACACGGGAAAGGAACACGGCTGAGAAGACCGACCTCCATTTGGGTTCTGCGTGGCCCCATTCTCCCACAGCCGCTGTTGAGGGAAGGCTCAAGGAGCGGGCCGCTGGGGCGTGGGCCTTCCCGGGCGAGGCTTAGGGAGGAGAGGGGCAGCACTGACCTGCACCTCCTTCTCAGGAAGGAGCCCGTGTGTCCTCAACGCCTGCACGGCCTGGTCTCTCTCCAGGGTCAAGGCCTTCAGCACCACCTCCTGGTCACGCAGCGTCCGCTCTGTCTCCTGGAGCTTGGCAGCAACCTGGGAGGAGATGTGGGCCTCAGCTCCTGCTGTAGCAGCGCTAACTCTCGGGGTCCTTCCCGGGGAGCAGACAGCAGACACGTGAGCGAGCAGCCCCTGGGGCCCAGGACCACGCGGTGGCCAGGGCCGGCTGAGTGGCAGCGCCAGGCTAGGGTGTGGCCAGGGATCCTCCCAGCACTGGTCAGTTAGGGCAGTTAAACAACCAATGTAACAAAACTAAGATGCTGTCAAAGACTATGGGCAGGACAGGGGCACCCTTTGCTGCTCTCATCTTTGTTGCTACACATCACGCGGCTCAGTGAGGCTCGGCATCTTCCAATCCAAACGACAACACGGTGAGAGCCCAGAGCCCTCCTCCACGAGCCATAGGGCACTCCCAGGCCCTCCCAGTGCAGGACGAAACCTGACGGGCCTGGGGACACAGACCTGATCCCGCGCCTCGGTCAGGGCCTGAATCAGGTCCTCGGACTTGCGGTAGTGGTCCCTCTCCACACCATCACAGCGCTGCCGCCAGTCCAGCTCCAGCTGCACCTTCTCACGCTCCAGGCCCCGCTCCCTCTCCGCAGCCACGGACAGCTGCTGTTTGTACCTCCGGGGACGGGAAAAGCACGGAGGTCAATGTCTTGCACACGAAGAGCAAAGGTGTGCTGCAGGTGATGGGGTGGAGGGAGGGCGCTACCACACTGCAGTCGGGTCCCTCGGGGGCCCCTGCGGGCTGGCCCTGTTCCTGTGCACTCGCGGACACGAGGCATGCTTGGCGCAGCTGGGAGGAGTCTGCAGTGTGGACACGGATGAGACAGGGCACCTGCGGGCAGGCTCGGGTTCAGACAGGAGCAGGGACTCCCAACACCAAGGAAACCAGCACCACGGAAGACCAAACTCAAGAAACAGAAGAACCCACTCATAAGAAGAGAAGGGAAGAAAGCCAACAAACTTGGGGAAAAAAGAGATGTAGTTCCAGCAGAGAAATGTGAGAAGGTTTCAGAGCGACCACCAGAGAGCAGAGTGGGCCGAGCCGGAGAGCTTGGAGCCACCAGGACAGAGAAAGCCTCCAGAGCTCAGAGGACTGACGTCCAACTAAAAGCGGGTCCAGAGAGATCAGAACGGAGGAGACAAAGGAGAAAAGCCTGCACAACTGGGGGGACGCACGTCCTCGGACCACAAGGGCTCGCCAGGCACCAGGCAGGGGGAGCTTTACAGGACCACACGCACAGATGCCACGTGGAGTGTTGGGCTCCAAGATGAAAGAGAAGCCTAAGGGAGAGAGAGAGTGAGTGCCAGATGGGCCCCAGGCTTCTCGTCGGCCGCACGCAGCAACGCATGGTGGGGGGCTCTGGACGGCCTCTCCCCCAAGGGTGGCGGGCTGTGTACACGACAGGATGGGCGCGCCCCTGATCAGGTGAGGCCACACGAGACCCTGTCCTGCCCACTGGAGGGAGTTTCCTGCTGGTTTTGAGAGGTAGCTGCCGTGCCGGGAGGCCACATTGTCAGGGCCTGCAGGCACCTCTGAGGCTCACAGCCGCGGGGAAGGACCCCTGCCACCAGCCTGAGGAGCCTGGAAGGAAAGGGCAGCCTGGCCGATACCGTGGTCCCAGCCTAGTGAGACCCTCTGCCGGGGACACAGCTGAGCCGAGCCAGACTCCTGACCACAGAAACCGAGATAATAAATGGGCGTTGTTAAAGCCACTAAGTTTGCAGTGATTTGTTCTAGAGCAATAATAAAGTAACACACAATGGGTTTAAAACCCAGGGGAAGGGGCGCCTGGGGGGATCAGTCATTAAGCATCTGCCTTCGGCTCAGGTCATGGTCCCGAGGTCCTGGGATCTAGCCCCGCATCGGGCTCCCTGCTCCGCGGGGAGCCTGCTTCCCCCTCTCCCACTCCCCCTGCTTGTGCTCCCTCTCTCGCTGTGTCTCTGTCAAATAAATAAATAAAATATTTTTTAAAAATCCAAGGAAAAAGTGATTTGGAATTTAGCATCCTAAACCCAGCAAAATCAGCACTCACGCAAAAATGCAAACATGGGGACATCTTCAGACACAAAGGCTCACAGCAGCGGGACAGGGTTTCGCAAACTGTGGTGAAAGCCCACTTGTTTATTTTTTCTTAAAGATTTATTTATTTATTTTTGAGAGAGAGAGAACACAAGCTGGTGAAGGGGCAGGAGGGAGAGAATCTCGAGCAGACTCCCCATGAGCGAGGAGCCCGACTCGGGGTTCGATCCCAGGACCCTGAGATCACACCCTGAGCCAAAACCAAGAGTCGGATGCTCAACCGACTGAGCCACCCAGCCACCCCCGAGTTGTTTATTTTTAAAATGTCCACGGAGGGCCAATACTTTGTAAAATGTCAGGAACCGCCACAGCACTGTCCCGTGACCATGAAGTTCCGGAATGCCCGTGCTCCCCACACTTGGGTCCCGTGGAGCAGGCACACAGGATATGTTCTCTGTCCACAACAGAACTAAATCAGAAATCAGTAACAGAAAGATATCTGGGAATCTCAAAATGATGGGAGACTTAGCAACACATTTCTAAACAGCCCATGGACCAAAAAAGAAATCACAAGGAAAATTAGAAAGTATTTTTAACTGAATAATATCAAAATTTGTGGGACGCAGCGAAGTAGTGCTCAGAAGGAGATTCACAGCATTAAATGCTTACGTTTCTCAGAATAAAAGAATGGTTCAAAAATAATAATCAAGGACCCCCCACCATTAAAAGCTGTCAAAAGAACACCAAATTAAAGCCAAAGGAAGCAGAAGAAAGGAAATAATCTTTTAAGAGTAGATGTCAATGAAATTAAAAACCCGGAAAACAACTGAGAAAAGTCAATGAAACCAAAAGCTGGCTCTTTGAAAAGATCCGTAAAATCGACAATGTCCAGCTAGACTGATCACAAACAGGACAGAGACAGTTACGAAGGCTCTGCGCACACTGGGGAAACATAAAGAAACACCACGAACAGTTCCGTGCCAATAAAGTCAACAATGACACGAAACGGGCAAACTCACTGAAAGACACAAATTCCCCAAACTGACACAGAAACATAGAAAACGTGCAACAAGCATGCAGAGAAGCCAGATGCAAAGTGCACACAGACGGAATGCGGAGTGGCTGGCGGGGCGGCCGCAGGGCTGGGGCCAGAGGAGAGGGGGCGCCAGCCGGCCAGGGACAGGGTTCGCGTCTCGGCTGCAGGGGTGGCTGAGAGGTGTACGTGCTGGTCAAGATTCACCGACCGTACAGCTGAAACAGGTGCGTTTGTTATATTTAAATTACTCCTCAAGAGAGAGAACACCTTCTTTACTCAAGCGTTCCTTAGCAATCACACAGGAGACATGAAGCAGCGACTGTCCACATGGGACGGAGCAACAAGAACGCTTGCCGTGGTGCTCGCTACGGACCCGGGCCTGTTCCCGGGGAAAGGCCTCCTCTGGCCACCCTCCATCACCCCGTCCCCGGGCTCTCCCTTCTCACGACCAGATGTTCTTCTTCTCTTTCCCATTCGTCTTTCTCCCTCAATAGGATGCGAGGCCAGGGCCTTGATTCTGTTCCCTTTTGTACCCGCAGCGCCCAGAACAGCACCAGGCCCCTAGGAGGTGCACAGGGAAAAGACCGCTCTCGGGGAAGCTGTGGGGACAGTCACCTTCTGATGTCCTGCTGGCATCTGGCCAGATGTGCCTTGAGTTCTACCTCCTCTCCCTGCAGCGACTGAAGCTGAAGGTCCTTGGAGATCATCTCCTTGGACAGCTGAGCGATCTGGGCATCCCAGCCGGATTTTAGAGCTGACGCATCTTCCCGAAGTCTGCACAAAGAAGGGAAGCTGTGTGAATGTGGGTGTGGTGCTCATTCAAGCTTTCCAACACACACATACCCACACGCGTGCCGCCCTCAAAGGAAACCCACGCAGCAGTGTCTCCAGATCAGGGTGGAGACTTCCTTCCTACCCGAGAAGAAACACCCGCCCGTCCATCCCACCAATCCAGGTGCCACTAAACACCCACAACACGCCAAGTCCGCACCAGACGTGCAGAGGACAGTGAGCCATGGGGGTCTTGGGGTGGTGCCGCTGGGCTCACCTTTGCCACACCTCATGCAGCCCCTCAACGTGCAGACCCATGTCTTCAAGTTCAGCAGTAAGACGAGGTTCTATAGAAACCCTCACACTACCTGGTAGAATCACCACAACCTGGATAAGTGTCCCCAGAAGAGCTCTAGAGACGCCTAGAGATACTGCCCAGGGAAGCCGCAGGATGGGTGGCACAATATGCCGCTGGGGCTCACCCCGTCTGCAGCCCGATCACCACAGGGAGAGGCAAGGAATCGCCACCTCCGGAGGAAAGCAAGGCTGCTAGTGAGCCTCTAGCGCCTTTGGGCTCTGCTGCCCACCTGACTGGAAGCTGCATGGTGCCAGACATTTTCAGAGGAGGAAGAGAGTCTGTTGATAGAGTTTCCAGCATGATTCTTAGCCACTGCAAAAAGACCATTTTTCTTCATACACTTTCAACAAATTATTTCTAGTATGATTCATCAAACTCATCCTGACTCGTACCTGTTCTAACACCACAAAGGGCTACACGACGTTGGGAACTTCAGAACACATCCAGTTAACACACCGTGTAGGTGCCAGGAGTGGGGGCCGGGACTGGCTCAGCCTGGGGGCTGCCCGACCCCGCTCCAGGCGGCACGCCCCGCTCTGGTACCGCAGGGTGGTCGGGTGACCAAGTGCAGGCCAGGACCGTTGCCAAGATGGCCCTCAGCATGCGCTGCCCTGGAGCTGCGTCCCCACAGGGTCTGGGCCTCGGCCGCTGTGCCGCACCAGCACCAAGTGTCCGACGTGATGGGGGGACGCGAGGGCTCTCCTCCGGCTACACTCCCATCCACACGCCACCAAGAAGCTGGATGGACACAAAACACCTGGGCCCTCATCTGGATTCCTGAAATGTAACCTTCCTCGTCACCCATCTGTCAGCAACTCTAAGAGGCAAAGGACATCAGCCAGCAAGGAACTTGTCACTGAGGCTTTTTCTGACTTTCCAGGTGGGAGAGTGGCTGGCAGCCTGGAGGTCACCTGCCTGGGCCTCAAGCAGCACCAGGGGGACATTCTGCGTGGACTTCCTGTTACACTCCCCAACACTACTCCTATGCACCCCGAGTGTGGCAGCCCTCCCCCCCAACGACAGGAGAGGCCGCTAGAACTCAGGAGCTGTATTTGTATGTCTTCTGTTTGCAACACACACTGACCAAGGGATCTGCCGACCACGGGGCTCTGCTTGTGCTCCCGAATGTGAGTCCAGCTCCTGCACTAATTTGCCAAGACCAACCCAGCCCGATAAGGTCAGGGCTCTGGAGAGCGTGGGGATTCACCCTTACCGCATCCTGGACCCCCGCAGTCAAGCACTCAGGCTTGTGCTGCTCAGCATGGGGCCACGGGCCACGCATGGCTCCTGAGCACGTGGCTGCTCTGAACTGAAATGCAGCTTCAAAATTTAGCACCCGAAAAATGCAAAATATCTCCATAATAATTTTTTTCAGGCAAAAATTATTAGTTTTTATACTGATTACTTGTTAATGATGTGCCGCCCGATTGGGTCAAACAGCCTCCTCTCTTTCTGTGCCGTAACTGTGGACGCTGGAAATTGGCCCCACCCATGTGGCCGGCTGTGACTCTGTCCTAGGGGTTATGGAGGCACAGGGCACGGCTGGGTTCTCGCGGAGCCTCTCGGGGCCATGGCCTCTCTGCTGTGGCATTCACGACCTAATGCCCTCAGGAAAATCACCACAAATATGCCCAAAGAAATAGCTCAACACATGGGCTGTTTTGTTGCTGGTTTTCAAACAGCATATGTCTTAGTGTGAGAAGACATGGACTGTCCCGGGCACGGCGGCCCCAGGCAGCACCCGACCACGGCCACGTGCCAGATCGCACAGAGGAGCGGGAAGCGCAAGGACAGGCACGTCGAAAGGCGGGTGCAGGTGGAAGGAGCCCGGCCCAGGGCCTCACGCAAGGAGGTCCTGTAGCTCCTGAAGCAGCCGTGAGAAGGGCCCACACAGAGCCTCGCAGCCCGGAGGGAACACATCCGCCCGCCAGACTGTCGCGTCTGCTTCCCGAACTACCGTTGCTTGTGTTGAACACATCAAGCAAGACCATAGGTTCAATCTAAGGAAACCCTCCTGAATGAGCACTAACTTCCCGGTTTGTACAGCTGTGAGAGCCATCCTCCCGTGATGGAAATATAATTTGGCAGAGCACCCTCTCTAGAACGGAGCCAGGCACATTCCCCAAACATACAGGAAAAGCCAGTTGCTAAGTAAAGTGAACCCTAACCAATGACTGATTTAGCTGTCTTAATCAGATATTTTTAGTAAACACAGCTTCTCCAAGTATCACTTCGTCACTGGCGGCCGGGAGACTGGAGTCCAATGCCAGGTCCAGTTCCCAGTGGACGCCGCACACAGCGGGACAGAACTGCTTACGTGTCGTGCCTCGCAGAGATGCTGAAAAGAACACTGGGTTTAAGAAGAAACCAGTGGAATACTACTCAGCCATCAAAAAAAGAAATCTTGCATTTGCAACAGTGTGGATGGAACTAGAGGGTATTATTACACTATGCAAAGTAAGTCAATCAGAGAAAGACAATATACGATCTCACTCATACGCGGAATTTAAGAAACAAGACAGAGGATCATAGGGGAAGGGAGGGAAAAATGAAGTAAGATGAAACCAGAAAGGGAGACAAACCATAAGAAACTCTTAATCTCAGGAAATAAACTGAGGGTTACAGAAGGAAGGGGGGTGGGGGGATGGGGCAACTGGGTGATGGGCATGAAGGAGGGCACGTGATGTGATGAGCACTGGGTGTTATACACAACTGATGAATCACTGAACTCTATCTCTGAAACTAATCATACATTTTATGTTAATTAATTGAACTTAAATTAAAAAATAAAGTTAAAAAAAGAAACCAGTTAATGGAAAATTAGAATCCTTGTGCCAAACAGTGCATCTGCTGTGAAAACCAGCCTGGCAGCTCCTCAAAAAGTTAAATATAGGGACGCCTGGGTGGCTCAGTCCTTAAGCATCTGCCTTTGGCTCAGGTCATGATCTCAGGGTGCTGGGATTGAGTCCCGCATCGGGCCCCCTGCTCAGCGGAGAGCCTGCTTCTCCCTCTGCCTGCCGCTCCCCGTGCTTTTTAGTCTCATGCTCTCTGACAAATAAATAAATAAAATATTTAAAAAAAAAGTTAAACATATATTTACCATATGATCCACCAATTCACCTTCTGGGTATATCCCCCTCCAAATTTTAAAGAGACCTGAATAGGTATTTGCACACCCATGTTCACAGCAGCACTGTTCACAACAGCCAAAAAGTGGAAACAACCCAAGTGTCCACTGACAGATGAATGGGTAAAGAAAATGTGGTCCACCCACGCTGTGGAGTATCACTCAGCCACGAAAAGGAAGGACATCCTGTCACCCGCTCCAACATAGGTGGACCGAGGACCCATTACAGGAAGGGGAGTAAGCCAGTCACAGAAGGACAGATACTGCAGGGTCCCCTCATATGAGGGACCTAGAGTCGTCAACGTCACAGGGACAGAGCGTAGATGGTGGGTTCCAAGAGGTGGGGGAGGGGAACGGGAAGGGACATTTTGGTGGCGGTACACAGCAGTGAACCGTGCATTTTTTTTTTTTAAAGATTTTATTTATTTATTTGAGAGAGAGATTGAGAGATAGAGAGCACGAGAGGGAAGAGGGTCAGAGGGAGAAGCAGTCTCCCTGCTGAGCAGGGAGCCCGATGCGGGACTCGATCCCGGGACTCCAGGATCATGACCTGAGCCGAAGGCAGTCGCTTAACCAACTGAGCCACCCAGGCGCCCACGAACCATGCACTTTAAATGGTTAAGATGGTAAGTTTTATATTATGTATGTTTTACCACAAATAACTGCACACATTCATACACACACACACGGCACAATTTGAAAAAAAGAAAGGAGGAAAAGGGTTAAGAAAAAGGACCGGCGAGCCGCAGAGGTGCGCCCACCCAGTGCCCGCCCTGCAGCGGGTGCGGTCAGTGGTCCTTCCGCCCACACTCACTTGTCCATGGCGGCATCCTTCTCCTTCAGGGCATCGACCTGCCTCCACTCTGCCCTGCGGAGCTGCAGCTCCAGGGCCTCACAGCGGGCCTGCAGCCCCAGAGCCCTGGCCTCCAGCACCTGCAGCTGCTCCGCGTGGGCGCCCTTCACAGCCGCCAGCACCGCATCCCTCTCCCTGGCCAGATGGTCAAGCTCCTCGTGCCTGAAACGCAAGCAGGTGTCACGCAGTGCCCAGGCCCCAGTCGGACCGCAGACCACACTCCCTCTCCTGTGCACGGCGGCTGCTGCACTTGGGACCTCAGCCGCCGCGCGTCCTGCCTGGCTACCTCTGTAGCGGCCGCTTGACCAGGAGCTCACATTCCTCAGGTAAACACTGGCGAACAGTTCTTAGACGCCACGTCCCCGGACGGCTCCAGAGCGCACACTCCCCCAGAAGAAAGACCCCGGCGACGGGAGCTCTGGTAAAGCAGTCTTACCGCCACCCCCGCTGGCTTTCGGCTCAGCAGCCATCAGTCACCCGGAACGCTGAGGGCGACTGGGGACCGAGGGACGTCAGCGGCTCTTCTGTCTTTGCCAGAAATGCCAGACCTACCAGAATCCCCTCACCAGGACAGACGTCCATCTGGACAGGCCAGCGTGGGCTGGCGGGCGTCATGCGGACATCTGACTGGCAACGCTCAGGACTTTTTATGCTTTTATTCTATTTGGTTTTGATAAAAAGTTAAAAGCCCTGGGGGGCAACTGGGGGGCTCAGTCGTTGAGCGTCTGCCTTCGGCTCAGGTCATGATCTCAGGGTCCTGGGATGGAGTCCCGCATCGGGCTCCCTGCTCAGCGGGAAGCCTGCTTCTCCCTCTCCCACTCCCCCTGCTTGTGTTCCCTCTCTCGCTGTGTCTGTCAAATAAATAAAATCTTTAAAAAGAAAAAAAGCTAAAAGCCCTAAAAATTGTAATTTTACATGGTATTTTTTTTATTATTTATTTTTTGAGAGAGAGAGAGAACGGGGTGGGGGGGAGAGAGAATCTTAAGCAGGCTGCATGCCCAGCACAGAGCCCAACTCGGGGCTTGAACTCACGACTCTGAGATCATGACCTGAGCTAAAATCAAGAGTCGGACACTTACCCGCCTGAGCCACCCACGTGCCCCCTACATAGCTTCTTTTTTAAAAAAAAAAAGATTTTATTTATTTATTTGACAGAGAGAGCGCACACAAGCAGGGGGAGTGGCAGAGGCAGAGGGAGAGGCAGGCTCCCCGCAGAGCAGGCCGCCTGACGCAGGGCTCGATCCCAGGACCCTGGGACGATGACCTGAGCCAAAGGCAGATGCTTCACTGACTGAGCCACCCAGGCGCCCCTTCCATCAGCATTTTTCAGTGAGATGGTGAACCCTTATTCAACCACGTCATGTTAACATGCTTTTCTTTCTAATTACAATCAAGCCTCATCCATCTTGCAACCTGTTCAATATTTTCTACCTTCTATTAGCAAAAAAGGAACACGTGCTAGTGGCTGTAACCACCAGTGTCCAGCAGCACAGCCTTTCTCTCATCAAACCAGGAAAAGTCTGATCGAGACAGCTACTGAAGGAGTCGAGTCACTTCCGAACTGCACTGCGTGATTGTTGGTCAGTGACTCTCAAAGGCCAACAGCAGACTCCGGGGTGGGAAGCCTGCCTTCTGTGCTGCCCGTGACACCACAGAGTCCCACGGCACCATCCGAGGGGCAGCATCTGCATATGCGCTAATGTGCCAAGTGTATGAGCACTAAATTGTCCTAACCTGGACCAGACCGCTCTAGGACATTTTACGAGGTGTGCTCTGTAATTCTCAGTGTTTTGATGTTACTCCTCCAAACACATAGATTCACTTGGACTGAAAAACGAAGTGAGATGTTCTTGAGGAGCAACCTGACCAGCTAATGGTTTCACAGCAAGGTGGGTTCTGCTGCTCAGGTGGTCTGCTGAACACTTCCCCTAAATGGAAACTAAATCTGCAAGCTTGAAGTTTTAGGGAGAGATGGTAAAGCTTGTGGCAAAATAAAAAGCATCTTACTGTACACATATCATGCTGGTGAACATGTATTCCGAGTCACAAGTTTCCCAGCCTCTCAGGACGAGGGTTTCCCAAGCTGCCGCTAAGTAGAAGGGCACCAGGTGTATGTAACAGTCACGGAATAAGTCTTAGGAAAGCCTCTTATCCGAACTTCCAGAAACAGAGGACAGGAATGATCCTGCCAACTGAGCCAGGCACTACCAGCTCTTTGCTCCTACAGAGTGACCAGCAGACACATGACATACGGTCATGCCGGGGCGAGGCCAGCAGGTGGCTCTTGGCTCGTGACTGGAAGGCGTTCAAAGCCTGGGGGATGCTGCCAGAAAGCCCACCCGGCTGTCCGCGGGCCGTGCGTGTGACGAGGTGGCCAGCCCCACAAAGGTGCTCACAAACTGATGTGGGGACCCCTTCCCCTCAGTTGGGGGGCATTCCTAAGGAGACTTACAGTTTACTTAATTATTGAATTTTATAGTATATTATATTGTTTTGTAAAGTATGTGCAAATAATTATCAGAATACCTTCATGTAGAAACCTTTTAGAACACTTAGAGCCTTGTGGCCCCAGCAAATTTCATTGTTTTTAGTTTATATAAATATATGCATTATGTTAGAGAAGACTGATTTCAAATTTATGAAGCATAAAAAATACACTATAGGGACGCCTGGGTGGCTCGGTCATTAAGCGTCTGCCTTCGGCTCAGGTCATGATCTCAGGGTCCTGGGATCGAGCCCCATGTTGGGCTCCCTGCTCAGTGGGGGACCTGCTTGAAATTTTCTCTCTCCCTCTGCCCCTCCTCCTCACATGTGCACGCTCGCTGTCTAAAATAAATAAATCTTAAAAAAAAAAGTGACCAGTTTTACTTCTTTTTCTTAGAGATTTTAAAGTAATTTCTGCACCCAACGTAGGGCTTAAACTCACAACCCCGAGACCCAGAGTCATGTGCTCCACCACCTGAGCCAGCCAGACACCCCTGAACAGTTTTACTTCTTAAAGCCAGTATTTATAATATGCTAAAAATTATATTCATTTTTTTTAAAGATTTTTATTTATTTATTTGATAGAGAGAGACACAGAGAGAGAGAGAACATGAGCAGGGGGAGTGGGAGAGGGAGAAGCAGGCTTCCCGCGGAGCAGGGAGCCCGATGCGGGGCTCGATCCCAGGACCTTGGGATCATGACCTGAGCCGAAGGCAGACGCTTAACGACTGAGCCACCCAGGCGCCCCTCAAATACTTATTTTAAGTTCATTTGATATAAGATCTTACTTGTTTTATTTTTTTTAAATAAAATTTTTTAAAAGCTTTTCAAAATTTTTTCTTTTTTAAGATTTTATTTATCTGACAGAGAGACAGCAAGAGAGGGAACACAAGCAGAGGGAGTGGGAAAGGAGGAAGCAGGCTTCCCCCTGAGCAGGGAGCCCGATGCAGGGCTCGATCCCAGGACGCTGGGATCATGACCTGAGCCGAAGGCAGACGCTTAACGACTGAGCCACCTGGGTTCCCCTATATTCATTTTCAACTATTTCAGTTTATGAATAAAAACAGTTTGGGGGTACCTGACCTGCTCTGTCGCGTGTGTGGCTCTTGATCTTGGGGTCGTGAGTTCAAGCCCCATGCGGGATATAAACATTACTTAAATAAATAAACTTAAAAAAAGAAAAGGGCTTTAGCTCTGGACATGAAGAGGAACACTGTTTTTTCCCAAAGGCTGGCCGCCACAGCGCATCCCAGCACCACGGGCCTGCGTGGGTCCAAGCCGGACCACATCCTGCTGTGTCTGTGGCACCCACATGCCCCCAGGAACATGCACACAGTGCCCGCCCTTGCTCCCACGTGCCGGCCTGGCCGAGGGGTACACGGGCCAATGGCATCTGTGCGGTGGCCTGGGATGCAGCTCCCAGTTCCGGTCTGACTACAGGTGCAAAGGCAGTAGACGGACAGGCTGTAAAGCTTTTCTCCTCAGGGTGCACAAACGTCACGGCCAGAAAACACAGAAATGCCCCAGATGGCCCACGCTCCACCAGCCTCGTCCATTCCCGTGACCGAGTACCCTCACAACCACCACATGCGTCTTCACCCGCAGCCACCCTGGTGCTTTCCAGAAAAGAACAGGGTGACTCCTGTGGCAGGTGCAATGGTGGACGCTGCCCCCCTCGGGCTCTCCGGGGCCCATGTCACCCCAGGCCCGGGCTGCTCCCAAAGGCACACGCTCCCCCACGCCTGCCCTCCCCCAGAAGCCTGCCTTGTGCCCTCTCTGAGCCCTCCTCATCCCGTGGGCCTCACAGGTCTCAGCCTGGGCGGGCCACCATGGGCTTTCTCAGGGTCCCCGTGCCACCTACGGGCTGGGCATCCTGACACCCGGCAGTGCGGGGCACACAGCCCATAGCGATGGATGAGGCGAGTATTTCGGCAGGAAGAACGGGGCTCTTGAGAATCTAGAGAATGTACAACCAACCAGGAGAGCAGGATTATTTTGCCAAAATAACGTAGAAATGAAAGGTGACTGTATCACCAAAGTAACGTTTGTTGCTGCAGTCTAAAATTAATGAACTGGTTAATAAAACTTTTTTTTTGAGACAGAGAGCTCGTGCGTTTGCTCAAGCTGGGGGAGGGGCAGAAGGCATCCCATGCAGGCTCCACGCCCAGCGCCAGCCCGACGTGGGGCTCGATTTCATGACCCCAAGATCATGACCTGAGCCGAAATCGAGTCAGATGCTCAACCGACTGAGCCACCCAGGTGCCTCCTAGTTCATAAAACTCTTTAAGTTCAGAAGTTTTAAAACACCAGGGCACCTGGCTGGCTCAGTCGGTGGAACACGTGACTCCCGATCTTGGGGTTCTGACTTTCAGCCCCACGTTGGGTCGTAGAGATTACTTAAAAATAAAACCTTAAAAAAAAATCTTAAAAAAAAAGTTTTAAAACACTAAAAAGCCTAACTACCACTGAAAAAATCCTGGACAGAGCACGGAAACAGACCCAAGGCAGTGAATTCAAAGGTCGGACAGCCCCTGGGTTGGTGGGAGCCCCTGACTGGACCTAACCCCACATGGCCAGGCTGGGAGCCAGGAACACTCACTTCCTCCTGAACACCTCCTCTTCCTTCTTCCTGGAGAGCTGCACACAGTTTAGTTTGCCCTCTAAGTCCTTTATCCTGAAAAGGAGGAAGTATTAGCGGGAAGAGCAGACGAGGACCCACAGCCAGGCCGGCCCCCAGCAAGCCAGGACAGGCGGAAGCCCCCAGCCCAGAGGACGCAGGTGCGGGCGCGCACCGGGCGTCCTTGGCAGCGGCCAGGTCCCTGAGCTCCTGGCCACTGTGCTGCAGCTTTTCCTCCAGCCCCGCGTTGGCGGCCTCGGCGCTCCGCAGCGACTCTGCGGCCTGTGCGGCCGCTTCCTTCAGAGCCACGAGCTCCTTGTTCAGCAGTTTTACCTTCAAGAGACAAAGAATTCCAAATGAGGCTAGAACTGGAACCGAGCAGAGAGAAAAGAACTCAAGAAGCAGCATAACAGTGAGGATGTCCTCACGCACCCCCAAGTGAACACACCGGGGCCCCACGACCTCTGAGGGCACGCCGCACCCCACAATGGGGCCCACACGTGTGAGCCCAAAAGACAGTCCCGGCTCCTATGTGAAGACTGCTGATAATGGACTCACACAAGCAGGTGGAGTGTGCAAGAGCGTGGCTCCATTTTAAAATAACCTTTCTGGGCCTCAGTCCGCGACTGTGAACTGCGGGCCACAATAACGGCTGCAGCAACCCACATCAGTCCGTGTGCGCACGCTGCCACCCTCCGGGGGAGGTGTTCCCAGGTTTGTAACAGCTAGGCACGGCAGACGGAGGTGGAGCAGGGCCCACCCCACTGTGGAGCTCAGGGCACATCCCGCGAGCCCTCTCCCCGCCGGCTCTCAGAAGTCCCCGAGGCCTCCTGGAGGTCACTGCAGGGCAGCCTGGGCCCTGGCTGGCAGGGGGCAGGGCTCCTACAGGAGCGCGGTCAGGGGGCCAGACAGGGCCTAAGAGGTTGCGGAGAACCGGTGTCCCTGCCAGGGGCTGCGGTGGGGCTGGGAGCTGCCTGGCCTTCACGCCGGCCACAGAGAACTGCCAGGGTTCCTGGGGCCCCTGGCTGGCCGAGTGCTGCCCTTGGACTGTGGCACTGTGGGAAAGGTGGAGGCCTGCGGGAGGGGCCCTCCCTGACCGCTAGGGCGGGGTTGCTCTTACGGACACCAGCGGCACGTCCACACAGGTGTAACCTATCAGGGTGGCAGGGCCAGACCAGGTGCCCTCTCCTGCTTCCTCCTCCCCTGCACACCCTCCCGCTTCCTCAAGGCTGGCCCGTCTCCATGCTAAAGGTCAGGTGTGCACGCTGCTCGTGTGTGTCCTGGCAGCCGGTGGACTAGTGCACCAGGGAACCCACGCTCACTGTGGCCGGGTGCACAAGGTGCACCAGGCCCTGACCACCCGCCTGGCCTCTGCTGTAAATGGGGGATGAGCAGCACCTCCCCGGAGGCCCATATTCCCAGTGCTCACAGAGGACACAGGCCAGTGACAGGCCATCTCGACCAGGGTCGGGTGGCCGTTTATCCCAGGGGGCACCCTTCCCCAAGGTCGGGGCACCAGCCCTCCTCTGTCCCTTGTGAGAGGGGCCACGTGGCAGGCACCGTGGTGGGCGCTCCCCAGGCATGTCACCCCTGGCCCCTGTACAGCAAGGGAGGCCTCTGTGTGGACTCCGTCGTCCCGCCCAGAGGTGGCCTCACGGCTCAGGAGCGGCACCTGACGTCTGAGGAGGGAACAGTCACCGCCCGAAGGCCATCCCCCACCTTGAGCTCATGAGTCAAGACCACGTTGCTCATGCTGTCTGCCTGCAGGCGGAACCCGTGCTCCCTCTTCCGCATTTCAGACTCGAATTCCAGCAGCAGCTCCTGAAGCAGAAACGGCCAGCAGTGAGAGGAGGCTGTTGCGCCGCAGCAGAGACCCCCACCACAACGAAGCACCAGGTGAGCGGGCAAGCAGGCCCGAAGCCACAGGACACAGAGGCCCCTGGTGGCGGAGGGGCCTCCACGGATTGCCCAGGGGTGCCACCAGTTTTTGCCGGATGCCACGGAGCTGCCGGGCCTGTCCACTGGGCACACACAGACGAGGAGCTGCTGGTCACTCAGGACAGAGGTCCCTGCGCGGGGGCAGCCCTGCCAACAGCTTTCCGGCTGGGTCCGCACACAACATGCCCACACCACTGCTCCCCGCCTGTCTCCCCGGCTCCCCGCCGGCTCCTCACCAGGACCCCACCCCACACCTGCCGGTACGCTGACCCCGGCTCTGCAAGCAGGCAGTCTTCTGAGCTTCACCCCCAGGCTGAATCTAAAAACCCAACACATTATTACGACGACAGCAGTACTCACCGTGCACCCACCAATGAAGGTGACAGCAGCTCACAACTGACAGCCCAGTTTCTCCTGGAGTTTGGGTTCCCCTCCGACCTCCCCCCACCTCTCTCTCCTCAGTCGTCCCACCCCCTCCTGTTCCTTCGTGGTGTCCCCTTGCACAGCGTGACCCTCTGCAGCCCCTCCGGAGGCCTCGGCCTCCACACGCTGGCCTGGCTTCTCCCTGGACTGTGGCACGGCTGTCTCCGGCTGCCCTTCACACTTCCCTGTGCGTTCCCCGGTGCTCCCGCACCTCCTCCTGTCTGTGGTTTCCTCCTCCTGGGAAGCGCCTCTGCCGAGCCCCATGCCCCACGTGGCCTCACCGGGGGTTTGGAAGCCCAGCTCTGGCCTGGCCGAGGCCCACTGGCTCCTGCGGAGCACTCGGGGAGTATGGGGCCGCCAGCTGGGCCCTGTGGCTGGGCCTACCCAATCCTGGGGACGCCAGGGAGTCTGCTCAGCTCAGGCCCCCATCTCTTGGTTCCCACTGTTCTGAACTCAGAAGGGAATGGAGGCAGCTGAGGGCTGAGCCCTTGGCCACTGGCCAGGCTACAGAGCATAATCCAGTAACTTCCAGGAGACTCTCACTGAGCCCGGCATCTGCAGGCGCCCCCCCTCCACCTGTGTGCAGACCTGAGGGCCCTGCGCTCACACCTCACAGCCGGTCTGTCAGGCTGAGCTACAGCTGAGCAGCGGGGCAGGCTCGGTGTCCATTCTCCCCTTCCATAAGTTTCCCAGAGGGCTCTGAAACATCTCCCGCTATTGCTCAGGCCTCTGCCGGCCTTTTGTTCTGAAGCCCCTGCCCCGAGAAGCGACTGGTCCATTTCCTCAACAGTCTGCCCCTTCCTGTTTCCCACTGCATGTTTCTGGAACGTGATTGCTGGATTGAACATTCCAATTTATCCTCCATGTCTCTTAAGTTTTTTCCCAGATTTTCTTTTTTATCTACATTCTGATTTTATTTCTTTAAATATACTTTTAATTGTCAAAATTCTTTGTTTTGTGAATGGCCCTCCTCCTAACATCCTGTTCTTGGGTTATAGATGCAAAACACATCTCTGGAAGCACTAATCACAGGAAGGCCCCACAATGCACCCCAAAAGCCTGAAAACTAAGACACAACATGAAGCGAGGCTGGCCCTGTCCCGACCCCGCTCCAGACAGGCTCAAGTTCTCACCTGTGGAGACGGCGGGGGGTCACAGGATCACCAGCTCACCTGCGGGCGGCCAGACCAGCACAGACAACCAGGGGCCTGTGTGGGCATATCTGCCGCCTCGCCCCGGAAGAGGGCACACAGTGGTGGGCTGCAGGATCACTGACCCAGGAATCACTGCTCTATCAGGGCCATTTTCCCTGTTACTCTTGGCTTCTTTCCCATGCTGCTGGCAATTCTCAAATGTCTCAGAATCCTGCCTTAGTTGGATGCTCCTATTCGGGAACGCGGCAATAAAAAGCTCACTGGAACGTCACCAAAATTAAATCACCTGCTAGTCATACGATGCTGCTGAGGAAGGAAAAGGCGGGGCCCAGGACGGGAGAAGATCACTGTAACACACGTACCTGAGGACTTGTTTCTGGAGTACGTGAGGAACTCCTACATATCAATAATATGAAGACAAATAATCCACCTTGTAAGAAGGGCAAAGAAGGTGAACCGATACTTCACAAAAAAATGTATCTTAATGGCCAATGAACACATGAAAAGATGCTTAAACGCTGACCATCAGGAACAAGCTAATTAAAACCACAAGACAGACACCGTGGCCCACCCTGTAAACGGCTGAAATGGGAAAGACGGACGACACTCAGTGCTGACAAGGGTGTGGAGCAGCGGCTGGGAACGCAGGTTGATGGCTTCTTACCAAGTTAAACGTGCCCCTGGCGCACAACCCAGAAACTATGCTCCCAAGTTATTTACCCAAATGAATAGAGGCCTGCCAAGAACGTTCTCGGCAACTTTATTCGAAATGGCCTCGAACTGGAAACGACCCAAATGTCTGACAGGTGCATCTGCAGGTGAGCGGGGAGCCGAGCGGCGCGAGCGCTCAGTGCACTACCCGCCAGCAATAGAAAGAGCAGCACCGAGCACAGCATATGGACATCACCCGTCAAGGCGCAAGCAGACTGCTGGGGCGGGGGTGGCACTCATGGACTGCAAGGGGCACGCTGGGACTTCACGGACAGATGTTAGGTGGGCGCGTGCACGTGTCAGAAGTCGTGGTGCACAGCCCGCATGTAAACCAGGGGTCCCTCACGTCAGCTCCGCTCTGCAGGCCCCATGGCCCACACCCGCTGCCTTGCTGCTGCACGCAGGGGTAATTCAATCTGTTAAACAGAACCGTGCTGAGCTTCTGCCTGGGAAGGAGCCCCTGCCTGCTGGGTACCCCGGGTGCACACGCTGGGGTCACTGCCCCGTACACAGCCCCCCAACTGACGCCAGGCTAGCCGCCTGCCCGCGAGCTGCTGCTTTTCCAGCTGAGGCCCTTCCGTCCCCTTCACTGCTGTCAGTCCCTTTGTGTCCCATCCCCTGTGGTCTCAGAGAAAGACAGACCTCCATGGTTGATCTGCCACGTGGACTGAGGCGTGGACATGCTTGTTCCTCAGATGTGGCTCACACATGAAGGACCGACATGCAGAAATTACGCGGGGGTAGGGGGTGTGCAGAGTGCAACCGAGATGCAGAATCCTGGAGTTAGTGTCTGACTTTGTCTCCCCCCACCTAAAATCTCACAGTGAGCCGACCCAGCCCTGGTGCCTAGAACGGAGCGGAGGTGACGTGGGGCAGGTGAAGCCCGTCCCCACAGAGGAGCCGGCGAGGGCGGGCCCTCAGCGTGTGGATGGCACGGCAAGACCGCAAGTGGCTGATGAAGTGACGGGGCTCGACAGGCTGAGCCCAGCCCGACTGTGCCGGCGAGCGTACGGCCACATCTGCCACGTCCCTGGTCTGCCCTCTCGGGGGAGGCAGGCAGGGGCCGCACACCTGCCGGCGATACAGGCACACCGGTCCCTAAAACTCTGAAGGTCAGTGGAGCCTCAGAGACACTCACAAAAGCACAACTGAAAGCAGATATGCCTTACTTTTTTGATCCTTTGAAAAGCAAAACGAAGTGTAAGGAGTCACGTGAATACCCCTTACTGGGGCCGGAATATGAGGATCTTCTTTTTTAAATTTTATTTATTTATTTATTTGAGAGAGCGAGAGAGCGAGCGTGCGCACAAGCAGGGGGAGAGGGAGCGGGAGAAGCAGGCACCCGCTGAGCATCCCAGGACCCTGGGATCGTGACCTGAGCCGGCGCCCCACTGACTGAGCCGCCCAGGCGCCCCTGGAACATGAGAATCATTGAGATTTTTTCTCCTAACATCTTACAAAACCACGAAGCATTTGGTTTCTGTTCAAAGCTCTGCAGGCTGTGGGGGCTGGGCCGTCACGCAGAAGGAGCAGGGCCAGCAGGGAAGCGCTGACCTGAGTGAAAGTCCAGCCCAGGAACAAGGAGCACTTTGCCCCGATTCACAGCTCACGTCCACCTCCACCACCCTCCTCTCTGGCTGCAGGGCACCCACTCTCCTGCTGGGCCCCTCATGGGCCCTCACCTCCCATCCTCCCGCTGAAGGCTCCGCTCAGGCCCTTCTGTCTACACCTGCCCTTTGACGATGCCCCAGACTCCCGCCCTGTACTCTGTGACCTCCCCACCCTGACCTCCAGTGTGCCAGGAGCCACCTCCCACGCAGCCTGACAGCACTGGTGCTGTACCCAGGGCTGCTGCCTGGGAGCCCCACGTGGCTGCCTGCCCCTCAGCCGCCCGGACCCTGAAACGCCTGCCCCGGGAGCTCTAAGCATGCCAGTACCCACCACTCCCTCCACGCCCCTGACCACCTGCAGGCTTCTGCTCACGACTCCCCTTCCCGACCACCCTGCCTCACGGTGTCATGCAGGTGACACCCTTGGGGGGCTCCACTAGAGACCGTGCTGTTCAGTGTCCATTGTGACCCACGGAGGCCCAGCTTGCTCCCAGAGCAGACAGGTCCAGGTGCTCACACCCTAACTCCAGGGCCTGGGAGGACGCCCAGCACATGGCTCACATTAAAAAAATATGCGTTAAATGAATGAAGAAATCAATTAATCATTCCATTTCTACTTCAGTGGCTTCTAATCCTGTGTTGCTAACCAGCACAGAAGAAAGCATCCCTTAACCCCACAGCCTACAACTCGCAGGTAGACTAAGACTCAAACAGACCAACTCTGTTCCCATCACCTTATATTTCATTTTTCAAGAGAAAAATCACTATCACCATTGAATCAAGTCAATAATGGACACAAGATCTTCAGAAACAAGAAACAGGAAACCAGCCCCAAGGAGACCATGAAGCCGGTGAGCACATAGGAGCCTAGTTCAGTCACTGAAAGAATAACATGTGGGCAGCAGAGTAGGGTTCAAGCAAAGGCACACTGCACCCTGAGAACTGGCACGGGCTCACACTGTTCCAGAACCACACTGGACACGTGCCACCCACTTTTCCAGCAGCCACCTTGGGTAGACCAGCAAAGCTGGGGAGTTTAAACATCAAGTTTCCTTCTTTCCAGAGGTAGGGCTGCTACAAAAACCAATGTCCCCCATGGCTGTGAGGGGTCCCCGACGGACGCAGGGGCTCGAAGCCGGAACCAGCCCAAATCACAGTAGAGGCTGAGTGTGGACAGCCTGGGAAGCCCTGCAGAGGCCCGGCCCGGCCACCACAATTCCGCGGGGGTCACTGCTGCCTCCGAGTGTCACTGAGACCCTGCCTGCCCAGGGCCCTCTGATGCTCCTGTGGGAGTATCCCTGGTGCTACCTGAGGAAACCTCATCACTACCCGGTAAGTCACAACGGGTCTTGTCTTCACCCTGCTGCTCAGGCCCTGGCTTAGTGCCCTACCAACTTGAGCTGTTTCCAAAAGGCCAACCTGCCTGTAATGGACACAGTTCACTGGTCCTGGAAAACTCCAGAAGTCCTCTGCAGATTTCAAGAGCTCTAAGGGTGCTCTGAGTGATGGCAGCATCGCAGAGAATGAATGTGGAGCTTCCACAGGGGAAGGAAAGAGCTGTCAGCGGGGCCTCGGCCTCCTCCTCTGTGGTCAGAAGACAGTCATGTCCACTGGTGCCTTTCCACCTGGACTGGCGCAATGCCTCTCAGGAGACACTGTCCTGTCTCAGGGGCTGACACAGCACCTCAGGACAGCAGCCTAGGCAGTCAGGCCCCCGTCCTCCAGCAGGACAGGTCTGTCCGTCACTGCTGCCCCAGCACCTGGATCAGAGCCGTCATGGCCAGGCACACCATCCACATCTACCCCGCGGTATGGTCACCAAGAAACTGGGAACAAGCCCAGGGTTCAGTGGCTACGAGAACAGGCAGAAACAGGACACAGTACAGGCTGACTTCTGGATCCAGCTCTTTGTCCCATATCATGAACAGGAGTCTACAACTAAGATGTGAAGAGTAGGGAAGGGGTTCAGGACAGGGCCCCCAGAACGTGCCACCTTGGCACAAGGACTGTTCTGAGCTGAAGGCACTTGAGACCATGCAGCCTCAAGAGAAACTTTTGTCCCTTTCTTACCACACGGAACAGTCTAAATTGCGCGTCTTTCCCAGTCTAAGGGTCATGAGCAGAGAAAAATTTTATCTGAGTAACCGATCTGTGTGGTAGGGCAAACATCTTTTTTTTCAAACACCTTATACACACACACACACACGTTTTTTTAAATAACGTCTATGTCCAGCGTGGGGCTCGAACTCATGATCCCGAGATCAAGAGTCACACGCTCTACCGATAGAGCCAGCCAGGCGCCCCTGGCAGGACAAACATCTACTTACCAAACACCGGCTCTTCTCACTGCCCGGTGAGGTGCACCCCTTCCCTCTGAAGTCCCAGACCCCAGCCCCTTCTCCTTAGTTCAGAACGACACACAGACCTCATTCTGCCTGACTCTGGGATTTCCATGTCTGTGTGGACTCCCTGAACATACACCTATTAAATTTGATGTTCTCCTGTTCATCTATCTCACGTCGATTTGATTCTCAGTCCAGCCAGAAGGACCTTTGAGGGGATGGGAGTTCTTGCTCCCCGACCACGGCAATCCCAGGCCAGGGTAACAGTGGCTAAGAGTTTACACACTGGACTCCAATCCCACCTCTGCCATTTACTAAGGGGATCTTGGGCAGGTTACTTAATGTTTCTGGGCTCAGCCCCCCATCTGTAAAGCTCAGATCAAAACCGTGTCTCCGTAGCGAGGAGCACAGAGAGCTTCATGAGGCAGTTTCCATAAACACCGCTGTTGCTATGATGTCGCGAGCTCATGCTCGAAGGCGACAAGGGGACCCAGCGACCCCAGTATCTGCACTCACAGAAGCGCAGGCTGAGGCTCAGTGTCACGGAGGGAAACTCTGGTGACAGGGCCAGGCTAAGCGGCACCTGTCAGCTGGCACGTCTATATTGACACTTAGGATTACCTACGGTTTTCTTGAAAGATACACAGTTACCACAATTTGAGTTCCCAGCTCTTTGCTACAGTAAGTAACCCAAATTCTGACTTTTTAATCTTTTTCTGAAATAAATAAGGGAGAAAACATGTATCCATTTGTGAGGAGAGAGAACACGGAGGGAGTTCCTAGAGACCGAGGTTTGGATGCCCACCATATCCCTCCAGGCCACCCCAGATGGAAATCTGCTCCAGTAACTCAACCTTGATCCCATGGGTACCACACAGCTAACAAAAAGGCTGTCTTCTCCTCAACAACTTACTTTCAAAGTGGGCGGGCAGGGCAGGCACCTGAGGAAGGGCTACACGCTGGAGCGCCCTACCTGCCTCTGCAGAGCAAGTTCGCCATCGAGCTCCTCGAGCTTTCTCTCCAGCTTCCATTTCAGGTTTTCGTACTGTTCCCGCTGCTGGTCCATTTCGCTGTTCTTGTCACTGTGTAAACACGGCAGTATTAAGACAAGTCAGAGGCCTGCAGGGTCTGCTCTCGGGTGGCTTCAGTGGAACCTGCTAGGCCACACAGGTGCCTGCCTGCAGAGGGAGCCTGAAATGGATCCAGAGTCTCACAAGGTAATTCCCAAAATGCCCAGGACACAAGCCCAAGTCACACCGAGCACAGGAAGGTCCCCACCTGAACGGGAAAAGACAGCACACACTAACCCCAAGATAACACAGACGCTGAGACTTTGTAACAAGGGTTTTTAAAGCAACCATTATTTAAAATGCTTCAGCAAGCAATGTAGTGCACTCTTAAATAAAAACTCAGAAACTCGGCAAAGAAAAACTTACAAAGAATCAAACAAATTGAGAACCAGGAAGTATGACAACCAAACAGAAGACTCACTGCGGTGGGCTCAACAGCAGAATGAACATGACAACATGACAGAGCAAAGAATCCATGAACTCGAAACCAGAACAACAGAAACTACCCCAGCAAATAACAGAGAGAAACAGACTGAAAATCATGAGCACAGCCTCAGGGAGCCATGGGACAGTCACCCTGAGCTCGAGGACAAAAAGGAGGGCTGACACGTACTTGAAGAAATAACGGCTGAAAAGGTCTCAAGTTAGGGGAAAAAAGGGGAGGGACAAATGACACGAGGAGACACTTTACAAGAATATGGTGTAGAACACTTCAAGGACACTCTGGGGCGCCTGGGGGGCTCAGTCGTTAAGCGTCTGCCTTCGGCTCGGGTCATGATCCCAGGGTCCTGGGATGGAGCCCCACATCGGGCTCCCTGCTCCGCGGGAAGCCTGCTTCTCCCTCTCCCACTCCCCCTCTGGCTGTGTTCCCTCTCTGGCTGTGTCTCTCTGTCAAATAAATAAGTAAAATCTTTAAAAAAAAACCCTTTAAGGATGCTTGAAACTCTCTCAAATACAGCTGTGAGAAAGAAAATCAGTATTTCCACAGAGGCAAGCTGGCCCACGTGTCCCAGTGTTAAGAGCACCTGCTTCTGATCCTCCAGGTGCATCACAGTGTGACTTTTAACAAAGGAGTTGGGGAACAGTCACAATGCCAATACCCACCCTGCAGGGGAAGGTCACAGATCCCCGTCCCTGCTCCAGGTGATGCCGACCTTGGTTAAGCTGTGTACCTGTCTTCCCGGCCCCTGGGGAGGCGGCACGGGCTGTGAACACCGCCAGCCGTACAGCTTGCAGGAATGACAGGCTCCGTGGCACATGGCGTCGGGACTGGGAGGCCCCGCGCAGGGGCCATGAACACCTTGGGCTCCCGGGCCTCCCTGAGGACAGCGACACTTGGGACCCTGGGAGCTGTGCCCACGCGTTGTTACAGGAGATGCTGGCCGGCGGGCTGGAGGCCCACAAGCCAAGGTGGTCCCGCGCCCACTGAGGTAGGTCTCCTCTGTTCACGCCCAGCCTGCCCCAGAAAGGCTCCCGCTGCCGAGGAGTACAGCGCCAACAGGCCCAGCAAACACAAAACAGGACCAGGTAGCCATTTAAAAGGATGTGGCAGAACCCAGTGCATGACACGAAGAAAAGCCACCCAGGTAGATGGGAAACCGCCACAAGCAGGCTGTGGGCCGCGTGACGGGACGTGTCTATGTGGGCATGAAGGGGAGCTCTCCCAGGGAGATCACAACAGACTCCTCGGGCAGCTCTTCCTTTTCACCTCATCATCCTCAGGAAAAAATGATTTTCTAGAACAAGAATATCGTCACTGTTGTGATTTTCTACAAGTACTTTGAAGGGCATGTGTGACAACATGAAACACTATTCAGGATCCTGTTTTAAGTTAAAACAGAACCCACAGGATGCTGCCAGCCGCTCTGACATCTGTGCCCACGCATGCGTATGCACACGCGTGTGCACGCACATACCAGCGAGATGCACCCTGTCAATGTGACCTCACAGACGTACACCCTGGGCGCCTGGGGGGCTCAGTCGTTGGGCGTCTGCCTTCCGCTCAGGTCATGATCCCAGGGTCCTGGGATCGAGTCCCGCATCGCGCTCCCTACTCCACGGGAAGCCTGCTTCTCCCTCTCCCGCTCCCCCTGCTTGTGTTCCCTCTCTCGCTGTGTCTCTCTCTGTCAAATGAATAAATAAAATCTTTAAAAAAACAGACACCCTGAAATCAGGGGAAGGACGGCAGATTTTTGTCTTCTCTCTCTTCTCGCTGGGGAGGGGAGTGCGTGGGACACGAGAGCGGCTTTCCGGGGACCCGCCAACAGAACCCTTTGACCCGAGCTTCAGGTTCTTAGTCAACCTGCCTCAAGTGAGCTCACTGCACTTGGGAATTAATACCTGTTTTGCATCATTAAAACAATCATGGGCTCGAATATCTTTTATTGAAATGATACAGATTTGTAATTCATGGGGAAAACTCGGAACATTGAAACCAATGTCCCGGTGCCCTCACCGCGCGGCCCAAGGGGCACCTCACCTGTGGACGCGCTCCAGCTCCAGCCGGTGCTCCTGCAGCTTCAGTTGGTGCTGTCGCTGCAGGTCCTCCCGCCGCCGGGCCTCGCTGGCGAGCGCCTGCCTCAGCCGGGCCGCCTCCACCCTGAGCTCGCTCACCTCCGCCTGCCGCGCCTCCTCCAGCCCTCGGGCCTGGGCGAAGGCCGCGTCGTAGCGCTCCAGCTCACGGTCCCGCTCCTCCAGCACCTGCAGGTTGTGGACGAAGTCCTCCTGCAGGCGCCGCAGCGCCCCCTGCGCCTGGTACAGCTGGCTGTGCGCGTCCCGCAGCACGGTCTCCCTCGGCTGGCAGCGGGGGGCCTGCGGGGCTCCGCTCTCGTCCTCCTTGCGAGCCAGCGGCGGGCCCAGGGCCTGCTCTGAGGGCGGCGGCAGCATCGGATAGCTGCAGCAGGAAGGGGGTGGTAAGTGGGCCCAGGGTTAGGGGCTCTAGCCATCCTTCTCAGTAACCGGCCCAGATCCCCGTCTACGGCATTGCTGTCACCCAGTGGGAGCACACTCTGGGCCAGTTAGCAGCTGTGTGGTCACACATTTGGAAGAGCCATAGGTGGCCCCCGCCAGGGCCCAGACCTTGAGGGCTCTGCTAGCCTAGCCTCACCCTGCAGCAGAGGAAGGGAAGATAGGAAACACCATTTGCTCACCAACAAGAGCTAGGTCCTTCAAAACAGGCTCACGGAGGGCTCTCCCACTTTGCAGATGAGAAAACGGGGCCGCTAAGGAGCTGAGCAAGCGCTGGGGCCCGCCAGCCTCTGAGAGCCAATGCCCCTCGGCCCCACACTCTGCTCCTGCAGCGGCGTGGGGCTCCTGGAGATCCAGCACTCAGGAGCACGTTCCTTGGCTCTTTTATTTCCAACCCATCACGGACTGTTAATTTTCTAAAACAATAAAAATAAAGTACTCAAGGAAAACATAATTAAAAAACAAAGATATATAATGCACAAGACCAATTTTTAATTATTAGATCCAAGAGCATAAAGCCACTTTGTCAAACTGCTAACAAGTGTCTAAACACCTCTTGCTCTGGCAGTCTGCCAAGCATGGGCCGCATGAGTATGTGTTGGGGGGCTAGCAAGGGCCACTAGACATGCTAGAGACCACGTGGACTGTCGACGTCCCATTGCCCGCAGAGAAGGGGTGGATTCTGACATGAAAAACCACATGGTGCTCGGGGTCCTGACCTACACAAACAGGCCCACAGCCACACAGCAAGCCCAGAAGGTAGGCAGGCTGGGCCCAAGGGCCACAGTCATCCTGGGGGCAGATGCGCCAGGGGCAGACACAGCCCTTCTCTGAGAGCACCTCCCCAGAAGGGCCGGGGGCACCTGCCAGTGACATTTGAGTATCATCACTGTCATCCCAAAGAATCTAAAATGTCTGATTCATGTAAAGTGGGTCTTTTTTTTTTTTTTTTGCCCGATGCAGGGCTCAATCCCAGGACCCTGCCATCATGACCTGAGCTGAAACCAAGAGTTGGTTATTCAACTGACTGAGCCACCCAGGCACCCCTGAGGTGGGTCTTTTTTAAGAGGAGAAAATCCCAGGGTGCCATAATCAAATCTGTTACTATAACATTTTGGTAATAAAATGAAAAAACAAAACAAAAACAATGAACTCACAGGTGCAGGTAGTATGCTATATGAGGGGCAAGTCTTCTTCGAACACCACACGGGTCTCTGGCCCAATGAGTAGAGTTTGGTAGTAATTCTCGCTACGAGTAAAAAAAAAAAAGAAGAAAAGAAAGGGGGAAAAAAGTAAAAGAGAAACTGTCAAAATGGTCTGGGCTGGTATTTGGAGAATCCCAAAATATTGCCAGGACCCCAGAAATAATAATGAGCATTTCAGAGAAGACACGTGCTGTGCTCAGAGCTGCCCTGGGGAACGACAGAAACACGTTAGCTCTGGGCTCAGCAGAACAGTGCTGCTGTTCACCCAGTCGGGGCGCCTGGGTGGCTTAGTCCGTTAGGCGTCTGCCTTCGGCTCGGGTCATGATCCTGGGGTCCTGATATCGAGTCCCATGTCGGGGGGGGGCTCCCTGCTCAGTGGGGAGTCTGCTCTGATCTCTCCCTCTGCCTCTCCCCCTGCTTATGCTCAATAAATAAATAAATAATAATCTTAGAACACACACAGTCAAAGAGGAAAACACGGCTTGATAAACGTCAGGATTGGGCAATCAAGGCCACGTAACTGTGGAGTGTCAGACAACGCATCCAACCGGAGGCTCGCCGGAGGACAAAGCACCAAGCACAGGATTGAGCGCAGCACCCACCACCTTCGTCAGGAAAAAGTAAGGCTATTTCTCAGGTGAAGCCAGTATCTTCTCGGCACTGGCACTTGGATCTGAATGAATTCCTTACGCAGGTCTTCCTAGAGCAGCAATGAATCACGCAGGGCAGGGCCTGGCCAACTCTTGCTGTAAAGGGCAGTGGGTAATTACTCAGGACTTTGTGGGCCACAGGGTTGTCACGACTCTTCAGCTCCGTGCAAAGCAGCCACAGAGTGTGCAAACTGCGGGCTGGGTCCGACCCACGGGCCTGCTTTGCCAAGCCCTCCATCTCTGTGCAGAGCACCTTTATCACTGGGTAACAGCTGCTGTCATTTCTTAATGGCTGCCCCCTGCAGCCCCAAACCCTCAGGGCTCACGTCCAGCCGGTCTTGGGGCAACCTGGCGCTGGAGAGGAGCAGCGGAGCACAGAGGGAGTGCCCGTGCCAAGACCCAGAGGGAGAGGCTGAAGCAGCAGGAGGGCCTGCAGAGGGCTGGGGAGGCCGCAGGACCCTGCCATGGGCAGTGCAGTAAGAAAGACATCACGGCCTTGGTCCCCAGCTCCTGGCACAAGGCCCCCAAAAGCCTCCCAACTTCCCAAGCGACGGGGGCAGCTTTAGTAGTTCTCCCCAGGTTCTGAAGCAATTCCAGGTGAGAGGCTATCTCCTGTTTCTCGTATCAAACCTGTCAACCACACCTGAGTTTACGAGGTGACTCTGGAAAGCCCCAGATAACCACGGGATGGAGCTGGTTGCCAGGGGAGCCAACCTTGGGATTACAGGGTTTCCCTTTCGACTCTGCCTGCCGGCTTCCACTGTGAGGCTGGCTCAGTCAGTCATGCCTATGTGATGAAGTCTCCACAGACACCCTCAGCCAAGGGGTTCAGAGAGCTTCCGGGTGGGTGAACACATTGGAGGTGCCCCGAGACAGCGTGGAAGCGCTGCACCTCTTCCCCAACCCTCGCCCCGGGCCTCTCTTCCATCTGGCTGTTCCTGAGTTAATATCCTTTTATAACAAACTGGTGATCTGGAAAGTAAAATGTTTCTCTCAGTTCTGTGAGTTGCTCCAGCAAATGGAACCCGAGGAGGGGGTCGTGGATCTTCTGATGTATAGCGGGTTGTCAGGAGCACAGGTGACAACCTGGACTTGCAACTGGCATCTGGGTGGGGTCAGTCTTGTGGGGCTGAGCCCTTAACCTGTGGGGCCTGTGCTAACCCGGAATCCGGTTCAATTGTAGAGAACGCTTGGTGGAGGAAAAGCCCCCTCATGCCCGCTGGAGGCGGAGCAGAGCTGAGCGTGAGCGCAGAGGGAGGGAGGCCTGGGAAGCAGGGGCCTAACCGCTAGGGGCAGAGCTCCAGCGCCCTGATCACCGCATCCTCCCAGGGGCCAGTCCTGCCCAGGGGCAGCCCCTGGGCTCCTCCCTGCAGGGGTCCAGAGGTGGGCAGCGCTCCTCCACAGCGGACTGGACTGTGGGCAGAGCCAACGTGCCCCTCGGCCTCGCCCAGCACCCGCGTCAACCCCTGCTCAGCTGCAACCTGCTTGCTGTTTTGAGTTACAGACCACCTGAGCCCAGCACCCCACGCTTCTGCCCCCCAGTTTCCCTGGCTCCTTCAAAGGCACCCCTCTCTCCAGCTGCCCAAGCTAAACACGTGGGGTTAGCCTTGATTTCCAGCTGTCTCTCACCCCCGCACACCTCAGCTGCCATTATCCCTGACCTCGCTGCGAGAGCCCCTGCAGTGCCCTTCTGCTGTGCACTCACTCTGAGGGCTGCCAAAGGGATCGTATAAAAAACAAAAAAGAAAAAAAGCCTAACTCCCTAGGGCTAGGGAGTTCCCATTTCACAACATCTGCAACCATCATCCCGTTCTGTCAGGGCTGGAATACGCCCTGGAGCCCACCACCTGCCGCCGGGTGAGGCTCCGCCACGGGGCCTGGCACCCCGTTTGCCGAGGTGCCTGGCTCACCCTGGCCACGGTTTCTCTCAATCCAAAATACCCAAGCACCCCACACTCCAATCGCCAGCCCTCATCCCTCCAGATCCACAGTCACTGAATCTTCAGACATGTTAGTGGATGTATAAATGAATCACGGAAAAACTAGAGACGTTTAAGTTTTTAATTCAATAAAAAAAAGGAAGTCACTGGCTTCAAATTCAGTCAGTAGCCAAATATTTCCCCCAAGTAGACAGCTGAGATGTGCAGAGGTCACCTCAGAATCTGTTCTGAGCCGCAGTCCCCAGCACACAGAAGGTGAGGACAAATGTTTGCCTCACGCAGGAGCAAACCCCTGCTGTTATAGCTCAAGGGCCACATCACTGTCACCAGAAAAAAGTGATGCTGGTGATAAAAAATTCCGACACAGTAGGCTTTCTTAAAGTCATTCCTTTGTTCATTTAACAAGTATTTATTTAGCCCTTATTAGGTGCCAGGGACTGTTTTACCTACTGGAGACAGACAGGTAAGGTCCCCGCACCAATGGACTATCACCCTGGGGCAAGACAGACGCACGAACAAAAATGGGCAGAGGAGGTAACTCTCCACATCAACAGAGTGCAAGGGGCCGTGGGCTGCTCTGGACAGAGGTCAGGGAAGCCTCCGCTCACCAGGAAGAGCAGGAAGGGGCTCTGCTTGGCCTTCAGGAGGCTAACAGGTCCTGCTTGGGCCACAGTCCCTGCGCTGGCTGCAGGGCTCCCAGGACCACTGGGAACCCAGGGTTATGGCATGCCAGGCAGGCCACAAAGCCCACAGAAAGCCCTGGGGTGGAACTGGTGACCTCCACGGTTGGGGGTTCACCCACACTAACTGCCCAAAACACCCAACGCACACCCCCCCACACCAACTAGCAGGGGGGCTGGAGGAGCTGGGAGCTGGTGTGTGGCCCAGGAGCTCCGGGGTCAGGCAGTCTGGTCAACAAAAACCTATGCACACACAGGCCCCCCACACGCCTGTGTCCCCTCACAGGGGAAGCAGCAGGATTTAAGCAAACACACACCACTACACAACACCCCCACCACGGTGACTGCTGGTGACTCAGACTGTCCCCAGAAGTGCCCATGAGTCATCACCATGGTCCCTCCCAGAGAATACACCAAGGTCTGCCAGGTCAACGGGCTTCCCCT